GACGACATCATCTGTGACTCCCGCTACTCAGACATCGAACCATCCACAGAAGGAGAGGCGAGTTTACCTTCATCAAGTAATATTTAAGAATAGAAAACATGCTTAATGAATTTTTCTAGCTTTAACTCTTGGTTTGTGTTGTAGGTAATATTTAGAGTGTTGGACCCTGCCTTTGAAATCGAGGACCCCTACAGTTTGAGGATCCAAAGTAAGCAGTAATTATCTGTGTGTCGTCGTTGTTTCGGGCTGATCTCGTAGCTGCTCCTAACTCCCAAGAGAGAGGTGCTGAAAATAAATCCTCCTTAGAGAATCCTAATAAAAGTTGTTTATTATCAGTTTTGAGTTTTCCCACAGCAGAGCTGCGGGGTCAGGGGTCAGACAACAGAAGAATTTCACATACGGAAGCAACTTGGACTTTGTAAACTCACGTATCTTCCTTCATTAAGTGCAGAGACTTTGTGTTAAAGCTGAGTCTGTGAAGAACCACAGCTGAATAAAAAACCTCTAACTGATCTTTTACTGATCATACATCTATACATATTTGACCTTTAACACTAACTGTCACGTTTGAAGACATGTTGAAGATTACAAACCTCAGAGTGCAGTTCATCAAGCTCCACACGTTGGGCGACAACCTGCTGGACTCCCGCGATGAGGTGACAGAGAAGTACTATTACGCCATCTACGACATGGTCGTTCGTGGAAACTGCTTCTGCTACGGCCACGCCTCCGAGTGCGCGCCGATCGCCGGACAACCCACCGGAGAAGATGGAATGGTACAGCTAATCACGCTGCTGCAAAGTCTGTTTTGACGTTTGCATTGTTTAAGTGATTTGTCTTTATTTGACCTGAATTTCAAAGGATTTAATTAATTTTTTTCTAATTTAAAAAGAAAACAGACCTCGAAGTTAATCCAGTAGCTGTTCTGAAGTCCCTGATTAATCCAAAGTATCTGTAATTAATAAACAAAGAGGTCATCAGTTAAGTTTTCTGATCAAATGTAAATCCAAAAATCCAACAGTTAAGCCTGGATGATGGAATGACCTTTTCTGCAGGTTCACGGTCGCTGTGTGTGCAATCACAACACCGAGGGGTTGAACTGTGAACGCTGTCAGGACTTTTACCATGATTTGCCTTGGAGACCTGCGGAGGGACGAAATACCCACGCCTGCAAGAGTGAGATCTGGTTCTTTTAAGCAAAATTTTATAAAACACAATTTCGTTTGACTTTACCTTCTTTCCTCAGAGTGTGAGTGCAACCGGCACTCCACCTCGTGTCACTTTGACCGTGCCGTGTACACCTCGACCGGCGAGGTGAGCGGAGGAGTGTGCGACGACTGCCAGCACAACACAATGGGCCGACAGTGTGAGCAGTGTGTGCCCTTCTTCTACCAGCACCCCAGCAGAGATCTGAGAGACCCCAACATCTGTGAACGTACGTGACCTTCACGTGACTCGCGGCGGCTGAAAATGAAATGTTTCTTTAAAAAGTGGGAAACACTTTACAGTAAGGTACGCAAACTTGTGCTTCGCTGCTAGGGAACGACTTGGGGGGTACTGAGTAATGAGGCAGGGAAGAATAGGTACTTTTAGAGTGTTTTTACATGTTGATTTCAAAGTTTACAAATGCAAAAGTGAATTTTTGTGTACTTTTCTGATTATTTAAAAAAGTACCCTAAACATTGAACGTTTTGTTAGTTATGGATTTGAGCCGGGTAACAGTGTAACCTGCAGGATTTTGGTCACTCATCTCTGGAGTATCACCACCAGTGTTGGTCAAGTTACTTGGAAAAAGTAATTAATTACTAATTACTGATTACCTCCCCCCAAAAGTAATCCTGTTACTTTACTGATTACTTATTTTCAAAAGTAATTAGTTACTTAATTACTTAGTTACTTTGTTTTTTGTCGTTTTTTACAGAATCAAACTGAAAGTAGTGGCGATACTTCCAACCATCAAACGCCGAACGCACATGCTCTCTGCCACTCTCCATTGTTCTCGTCTGTTGTTTTCTATCATAGACGGCGCACGCTTTTAGACGTCATCGTCAGGAGACGCGCTCTACTCAATTGAGTAACGCAGTAACGCAGCCTGCTTGCACCAAAGTAACGGCAGTTTAATTACATTTTTGCCATTGTAATCCCTTACTTTACCCGTTACTCAAAAAAGTAATTGGATTACTGTAACGCGTTACTTTTAATGCGTTACTGCCCATCACTGATCACCACACACAAGATGAAAGAAAATGATGTGTGAATGAGCTCAGTGTATTTATGGTAAATGGCCATGTAACAACGTATAAGTAATGGTTAAGTATTAAGTACATATTCGTTCCTCAGTAGGTACGTGGGAGGAGGCTTCACTTTCCATCATCTCGAGATGGACGGATGCTGACGATGGATGACCAAGTGACAGAAGAGTGAAATCAAGATGAAACAGTGATGTTAAATCACTGTGATGTTGCTAACTATCTGCATCCTTCATGACGTTTACAAAAGAGTGTCCACAGGCACTACATTCATCTGGGATTTGTTCCTTATTGCTTTCATAGATAACTACCTATTAGACCCTGAAACAAGACTGATGAGCGTTTTCACCAGTAACTACTGGTTAACTACCTATTCTTCCCTGCTTCATTACTGATTACCCCCTAAGTCGTTCCCTATAACCAAGCACAATTTTGCGTACCTTATTGTAAAGTGTTACCAAACAGTGTTCTGCTGTAATCCTCCAGGACGCGTTATTTCCTATGAACTATGACTAAAACCATCTGGAGCCTCAAACTCTGCACAGGATTAAAGATGCTGAAAGTAGCTCTTACCTTAAAGGGGCATTGTGGAAGTGTGACAGCCAAAACATGTATAGAAATAATAAATGTCTTCTTCATACATTCTCCTGCAATGCCCTGGTCCTGTAGAAAGAGCCCTGGCATTTTTACTGTGATCGCCTGTTTTTCTGTAAAATCACAGAAAAAGAGAGATGCTCGGGTCGAGCAGGCTGCTTCATGCGTGTTCACGCTCAGGCATCGCCCGTAGCATTTGCTATCCGTAGCTTTAGCAGCAGAGAGAGAGGCAGTGCCACTTTGTCGCTGTTCCTAACGCCTAGTGACAAAGCTAGCTACATTTCTGAGGACCCTTAGCTACTTTCTGTAGAACTTTCTTCTAGATATTTCCTGCTAATTAGCAACAAAACAGCCATTTTCACTCTGAACCGTTCTTTGGTTTGACGTTGTTTCAGCTGTCATCAAGGATATAAATGTTACAGATATGTAAGACATCACTAGTGCTTTAGCTCACCTAGTAAGATGTCTGACTCTCATGCTGAAGACCTGGGTCCGATTCTGGATGTGAACATAGTTTATTTAGAGTTTATTTTTTACATTAATGGTATATTTTTTACTGTAAGATGCCCAAATTTTTATTTGAGACTCGCCGAACGGCATTGAATTCACAGATAAAAAAGATGTGGGTTCAACTTTCATTTTGGAACAATTTTTCAAGCAAGGGAAGGGAATGATCTGAGCATGCAGGAGGACTGACCCATCATAAACCTTTGTCGCTGTGCTGAAGAGAAAGCTACAGAACCACATTATTTAATTAATTAGCTGCACGTTCTCCTGTCCTCTGTCCTCCAGTCCACACACACACACACACACACACACACACACACACACACACACACACACACACACACACACAGTGTGCACGTACAGCATGCCCGCCTCGTGCACGAGCCTACTTTTGAAGCTGCCGTTACGCTTTTGACCTGAGGGGGCAATCGCGAGCATAAAAATTGAAAACTCCATAAAAACCCCTTTAAGTGTTGATTAAAAAATGGCGTTTATAGGGCTGCAACAACGAATCGATAAATTCGATGAAAATCGATTACTAAAAGCGTTGGCAACGAATTGCGTCATCGATTCGTTGTGTCGCACAACTCTCCCAAAAGCGCCCCCCCTTCCCGCCCGCTGTTGCGCGCAGAGCAAGTCAAATCAGCGCAAGGTTCGCGCTGCTGCGAACCGGTTCCGCCCAAGGCCGGATTAACTGGGCAATTGCCCAGGGCCCACGAACTCTAAAGGGCCCAGGGCACGAGCACAATACTGTATCTATAATTTCCCGCTTTATGAGGACTATGGTGACCGTACGTTCCGTTTTCCCCGGACGTGTCCACTTTTCACTCTCTGTCCGGCGCGTCCGGACTGGGGGTTCTTGTATTGATGAAAATGTCCGGCTTTTCATCCAGGAGCAGGGATCGAATTATGGGGGAGCTGTATATCCTACACATCCGGGGAGCCGGAAAAAAGTTTTCTATATTATATCATTTTTGGACTCTTTTGAGCAGAGAGCGGCACAGCGCATTGTTGCGCAGCGATCCAGGCAGCTGCTTCCAGCGCACGGTCCATTCTCAAAGTGGTGCAACCAAAAAAGTATAATTAGCACACGATCGTTCATGTCTGCACATGTTCTCTATTTTCTGTCTTATTTGGGCCTGAAGCGCGCTACTGCGGAGCTCATCACCTGTGCTGCGGTGATGTCACCTCACTGACGCAGCATCGAAACGCGCTCTCCGCTTTGCGGTCAGGAGATCTTTGATCTGCTCAAAAGTAACCGATGAGGTGAAAAGGTAAGAATCCAGGCAACAGATTTTCTGGAGAGTTAAGAGGAGATGCAGGAAGATGAGAGACAGACAGGACAGGAAATAGTTCAATAAAAACAAGAAAACAAAACAAAGTGTTGAAAAGTAAAATGTAGGTAGATTTATCTCCACTACACGTTTTTACCCGTAAAAAACAATAAGTTCTACACATGTCATATTTATACATCTGATACAATTCAGATCACCTTCAACACTCAGTCACACACCCAGGGCCGTTTCAAGGCATTCTGGGGGCCAAGGCAAAATGCCCCCCCCCCCCCCCCCCCCCCAATAACTGGGCTCCCCAGAAGCCTCTGTGTAATTCATGCCCTCTCCAGTAGTATTAGTTATATGGTGTTTATAAAAGCCCCTCAGACATTACTGACATGTTCTAATATTATCAGATGAAAAACTAAATGATCAGACATGCCGTCTCATCTGCTGCTTTTCTAAACTTGTAAAAAGTAACAAAACCATTTGAAAGCCACTATTTGTGGATTCTCTGAAAGTTTGTCTGTGTGACAACTTATTTTTTCATTGATCCTATCATCTAATCTCACAGCTGGAACAAGCATCCTTAATAATCTGTGCACAGGAAGCCCACCGATGCTGTAGTAAAACAAAAGTTATAATAATTTATTATTAATAAAACCTTGTTGCAGCACTAAAGCAGAAAAATGACATTTTGCGGTAAATATGCTAATTATTTATTGTTTTAGAGCCCTTTTATTGGCAGAATCTGATATTAATTTAGTTCTTACAAAAAATGGGTCCCAACATGGTTTGTGTGGCGTTGCCATAGTGTGACGTCATAGGCACAGATTTCCTGTCCTCTTGTTTGGAAATGGAAATATGGTCACCCTGTATTAAACAAACTGTCCACCCGGGCTTTTGCACTGCACAGAGACGCTTCGCTGCCTATGACTGAACGTCATTTGAGAGTCAGTCTCATGCAGACTGACCAATGAAGAGAGGGCCTCAAGTTAAGACCCTCTCCTCATTGGTCAGTCCACACGAGGTGGGTCAAAGGTTACTCTGGGCGGGTTACGTGTTGTCAGGCATTCAAGTATTGAGTATATTTACTGCATATTACAGTAAAATATTCTGTATGTGACCACATTATGGTGATCCTCGGGTCGTGATGATGGAGCCCTTGAATATTGTTGCCCAGGGTACAACAAAGTGTTAATCTGGCCCTGGTTCCGCCGTCACATTCCCGCAGAAACTGGTTGATCACACCGGGGCCAGACTACTAGCGTGTGGTTTTACAACCACAATGTCCTCAGAAGCAAAAACGCTTTTAAAAGGGAGGGAGGAGTCCTAACTGTTGCTGCAGGCGTGTTGTGTGAGAGTGCAGTTATATACTGGTTAATATATTTTTGGGTTCAGTTGCTTTCATGTGGCCTAATGTGAGTCTATTTGGGATCATTGGAATGATCAGCAGCATTTCTTGATGTGACTTTATGGCAGTTGCCCAGGGCATCATCGCAAGGAGGATGGCATTCATTTACTTTTGTTTTATTTGGTATTTTTTCAGTCATTTTTGGAAATAGTGATCAATTTTGATTAATTCACAGCCTATGTTTAATTACATTTAAAAATTAGTTGTTTGACATCCCCAGTTATAATAAATGTCTACAGATGAGATCAAACAAAACAGATGAGAATTGCCCTTAAGCTGTTTAACTTGGACCAAGCATTTTAGGTCACAGATAGATGTAGCTTAGGGTCTCTGTCTATACACCTTATAAGACAATTTAGCATGTTGTTTTTCTGCTATTGAGCTGTTTTCTAATAATGTTGTGTTAAATAAAGTGAAGGAAGGAGAGAAATAACGTTTCCCTAGCAGTTTTTAAAAATTTCCCCATGTAATCCGATTAATCGATTAATCGTGTCGAGACCCCATCCAATTCATCGATTATCCAAATAATCGTTTGTTGCAGCCCTAGGCGTTTATTTACAGGGGGACACTTTGATCTCTTAAACAAATCTGAAACTATAATCAGGTACGACAGTCAGAAACTAGAATAATCAAAAACCGCAACCCAGTGTGGCATCTAGCAAAGACCAGGTGTGATAATTAAAACCAGGTTTAGCGATCAGGAACTAAGACCAGGTGAGATATTCTGAGACTATGACAAGGTATTAAAATCAATAACTAGCCAGGTGTGATAATTTGTAGAAGAACTTTTATATAGCACCTGTGAAGATAAATAGAACAAGCCGCTTAACAAGAACAAAAATTAAACAAATTTAAAAAGATTAAAAATCTTGCCATAAAATTGGGAAAAGTTAAACAGTGGATCCTGGGAAAAGCAGAATTGGTAGAATGAGCTGAATGGGAAGAAGGTGGTGATGAAGAATCACCCGAAGGTCCCACCAAAGCCTGAACAGGTGAGTTTAAAGGAGTCCACCGAGTCCACTGATCTCAGGCTCAGAGGGAGAGAGGTCCAGAGTTTGGGGGCCACAGCAGCAGATGATCTGTCACCTTTGTAGGGTTTGGTTAATTGAGTGCTTTAAGAGCTCAATATATATAAATATATATCTAAATATAGAATATCACAGCTTATTGGTCATATATATATATATATATATATATATATATATATATATATATATATATGACCAATAAGCTGTGATATTCTATCTAAATATAGAATATGACCCTGCCTGGTCTTTACTGTGTTAATCAGAAGATTCTAGGATTCATTATTTATTAGGGAATTGTACACACTTAGTTTGATTCAGAAAAGAGTCAGGTTTATAAAAGTAAGAATTTATTTTACCAACAATTAAAAGATGACAGGTTAACTAACATTTACTGTGATGGATGGAACTAGATGTGATGTATGAACCTGTGTGTGAATGCGATGTTATCAGAACTTCCGTATCTCGGAGAGCTGAGTTCTGGATGTAAAAGAATTTGTTTTGAGGATTTCATCCTTCTAACCTAATTTGCACGTTCCCACAGCTTGTAGCTGCGACCCAGAGGGATCTCTGCAGGGCGGGCTGTGTGACTCCCACACTGATGTGGCCGCTGGGCTGATATCAGGTCAGTGCCGGTGCAGAGTCAACGTTGAGGGAGAACGCTGTGATCACTGCAGACAGGGACACTACGGACTGGGACAAAGTCCAGATGGCTGTCTGCGTAAGTCACAATCTACCCTCTGAATTATTTTTATTTCACATGCTGTGTAAATTACATCTTTAACATCACAGCTGTTTAATGCTGAATTTGTCCGACTGGTTTAAGGAAAGATCTCAGGAGCAGAACTACAAATACATTTCTAGACTAAGCCCCCGTTTAGGAGTACGGTGAATTTAAATGCACGTGTCCTGGCAGCATGTACCTGCAACCCCCTGGGGACGGTGCCAGGAGGAAACCCCTGTGAGCCAGAAGCAGGACGATGCTTCTGCAAGCGACTTGTCAGCGGACACAACTGTGACCGGTGCCGGGTACGTCTCCAAACACGACGTCGCTTTCAGTAGGGATAATGTTCCCCCCACGTATGAGTCAACCATCTGTTTTCTGTCTGTTGGTAAACAGCCTGAGCACTGGGGACTGTCGAACGACATGGACGGCTGCAGGCCATGTGACTGTGACCAAGGAGGCGCCGTCGACAACAAGTAGGTCTGACTAACCCAACAGCTGGCTGCTTGTGGTGATAAAATTGTGGTGAAGGTTGGTTCAAGCAGCCGTAAACTCTTATTTGTGAAATAAATCTGGTAAAAAACACATTTATAGAATAGATAAAGATTATTCTCATCTGAGACGTGTCTCTGTAGCTGCGACCCTCACTCGGGACAGTGCATGTGCCGGGAGCACATGTTCGGACGTCGCTGTGACCAGATCGAGCCCGGATTCTACTTCATCGCTCTGGACCACTACACTTATGAAGCAGAGGAAGCCAATCACGGATCTGTAAGTGCGGGGTCGGTTTTAACCCTTGCCCTCCATCAACGTGTCCGCCTCGGCATCCCGGCTGTGTTTTCTGTCTCTCAGGGAGTCAAACTGGAACAGAGGCCGTACCCCCAGAACCGAAACCCCACATGGACTGGGATGGGGTTCGCTAACGTCCCAGAAGGAACGTTTCTGGAGTTCCACGTCAACAACATCCCAGAGTCGATGGACTACGATATTCTCATTCGCTACGAGCCACAGGTAGCCGTGGAAGCTCCTTTCTTCCACACGAACTGAACAATCCCTGAAGAGTGAGTAAATAACTTGAGTGCCCCTCGGTTTTGGACAGCTCCCACAGCAGTGGGAAGAGGTGGACGTCCGAGTGGAGCGTCCCGTCTTCCACCCTCCCAACCACTCAGCTCACTGCAGAGACGCCCTCCAGGCTGCAGATGAACAGTCTCTCTCTCTCCCACCTGGATCCAGGTACAACATGAGGCCGTATGGGTGTGTGAATTACTTGAGCGCGCGCACACACACACACACACACACACTGATCTTGTGTCGTGTTGCAGGCACGTGCTGCTGGTGACGCCGGTGTGCTTCGAGAAAGGACTGAATTACACGATACGTCTTTCTTTCCCATTTTACTCATCAGTCAGCAGCGTCCAGAGTCCGTACACGCTCATCGACTCCGTATGTTTAGTTTATTTTCCTCGTTTTCTTCACTTTTAGTTTGTTTATCTTCTATAAACTGGAACCTTTCAACGGTTTCCAGGAAGAGCTCCAAAACGTCCTCTTGTGTGTAGAAAAGCTTTTAAAAGTCTATCAAGGCCACGCCTGTCATGGTTTCCCATGATGCTTCCCTCTCGTCGTAGTTGGTGCTAATGCCTCGAGTCAGAGAGCTGGACATGTTTGGTGGGACGGACGGTGAAGAGGCGTGGGAGACGTTCCAGCGCTACAGATGTTTGGAAAGCAGCCGGAGCGTCGTCAAAAGCCCGATGACGGACATCTGTCACCATTACATCTTCAGTGTGTCTGCTCTGCTCCACAAAGGAGCCATGGGTACGTAGTTTCCTAGTTATGAAGGTAAAACCTGTTTTTTTATCTTTAGATCTTTTATTAAACCTTGTTTTAAAAGGTTTGTTTAATACCACTTTTCTTTTTGTATTTTCAGGTTTTTTAATGTTTTCTATTAAAAAACGTTTTATGTTTTTCATGCATATTCATGTAACAAGCTAAGCTTTCCCCAGACAAGGTCGCCATAAGGGGTCAATCTTAATTTAACCTGTTAATGTCCCAAATTTATTCAGCAGTTTGTCACCTTGTTCAGTGTTGTGTTTTTAATTGTGGGGTTTTGTCTCATATGGGGCGTATTAAATATGTCAGCAAAGGTGCCCCCACGGGGTGGCCAGGGGTGGCCATGGCCACCCCTAGAAAATTGCTGCCCCCCCAGGAAAAGCCAGTGTTAATAAATCATATTAATGTTCAGTCAAACCATAAATTGATCTGGTTTATTCAAGGCATAATTGTAAAACAAAATAAAAAGAATACAGTTCATGAGTAAAGAAATAATCTGAATAAAAAGTACACATATGTTTCTACCTGTTGCCATTTTAAAAAAGTTTTTATCTCCATAGATTTTGTGAAAAACAGGTGAATTGACCTAAAAAGATACATTTTTTAATTAAATTAGAAGTAACTAAAATGTATTTTTCTGAAATGTTTGTGTTTGTAAAATGTAAGTTACCGTATTTTCACGACCATAAGGCGCACCTAAAAGTCTTAAATTTTCTCCAAAATGTAGCGCCCGATGGTGCGGTGCGCCTGTTGTGTTGTTGTGAGACGTGAACGTAGTAGAAGACAAGGGGCGCGGCGTGAACGTGCGGACGTGAGCGAAGACAGACCTGTGGATCTGCCACATCGTCATCAACATCCTCGCTATTTGCCTCAGACTCCGGCTGTGAGTCTCCGCCCACTTCCTCTGCTTCCAGTTCAAAAAACAGCCGTACTATCTGAACTGCCTGGTGGACATTTATCCTTCTCATCATCCTTTATATAAGCCTAATAAAAGCCTACTAAACTGCAGAGACAATATATCTGTCCGGATGGCTCCAAAATATGAAGTTTACCATCAATATCTGTCTAACTGTTTGTTGTTACTCCGTTCGCGCCACTCCTTTCCCCGCCAAGCGACTCCTTTTTGCGCACATCTCGTTACTCGTGCAGCCCTCCTCTCTCTCTCAGCTACATAATGATGCTTTTTATCAGTTGGATATGTGAGACTTCCACCAACAGCAAAAGGATCTCAGGTTTTTGTGGGTTTTTATGTTCACAAGCACGTTCCCTCACACGGATTACTAAACTGCTGTTTGGACAAGTTATCAGATTGTCTAAAAATAGGTCGTTTTTTAGTTTAGTATAACTCTGCTTTTACGTTGCCTATTAACACAATTTAAAAACTGGGGTGTAGTTTATAATCTCCTTTTTAAAGCTGAATTGAAACCGAAACTCAGGGAGGAGGAGTCTTGCTGCTACAGCGTCCCAAATCAGACCTGTTCGAAAGACATGGATACGTGTCCATGGACCCTAGAGGGTTAATAAAACACAATTCAAATCACACTATTTTCTTAGGCCTGTTAATAACACACATATGATTTTGTTCATGTGGAAAGTTTATGTGGTTAAATCCACCAACTAAACACATTCCGAACTTCAACACAGTGCATCAGCGCTTGAAGCGGCGCTGCGAGCAGCTGCGACCCAAAAAGTATCAGAACCGCTCACGGCGCATGCGCAATCCTGCATCAACACCGCTCGCCCGCTATTTCCCTAATAACACACGCTGTTCGTTTTTATTTCTACACGTTTTTTTACTCACAAAGATTGTTAAGAAAGCGTGTTTGTCGTGTTCGTGTCAAATTAAACTGATCACAAAACACAGATTTACTTTCTTTCGTTTTCCTCATCCAACCCCCATAAATCCCTGTGTGTCCTCCTGCAGCACTCCCGGTGTACGCCGGTCGTTAGTAGGAGGGAGACCCGCGATTATCGCTTTGTCGCGCATGTCTCATTGAAAACGAATGGAGGAGAGGCGGAGTTGCCTCCCGTGTGTCGGGCCCATTAGAAGAGCACGAGCCGTCAGCGCACGCAATGAGGAAGTGCACGTGCACTCTAAACCAGGTGTGAACCAGGACTAGACCAGTAAAGTGAAGCACGCTTTTGGCTGTTTATAATTTTCACAATGTCTGGTTTGCACTGATATGTTCCGAGTCCCGAGCCCGCACAAATGTTTTACCGCGCCCGCGCCCTATAACCCGGTGCGCCTTTTGTATGTGTTAAATACCAAAAAGGCACCCGTAACTGAAGCTGCACCCTATAACACGGTGCGCCCTATGGTCGTGAAAATACGGTAAATGTTTTGGATAAATACAGTCTTTTTAAAAATAAAAGCAAATAAAGACGCAATGCAATACATCGCCACAGGCTAAACACTCCCAGAGTTACCACAAGGACCAATTTGGCGTGCCACCCCAAAAATGTCTTTGGCCCCATCTGGCCACCCCCATCAAAATTTTCTGAAGGCGCCCCTGTATGTCTGGGTTTGTTTTTGCTTCTCTTATGTTATAGTTTTAGATTTTCTTGTTTGGTTTTTAGCTGCAAACAAATCATCAAAGCAAGACCAGTCTAAGTGACAACAGAGTGGATTAAAAACAGTTCTTGTGCTCAGATTTTGATTTAGTCCATTTCAATAGGAGATAAAAGCACAGCATTCTAATCAAAAATTTTATCTCAGAAATAACAAAAACACCAAAGATTCCTCTAAACATGTTCAATATCTTAAAATGTTGTATGATTACATTTAAGGAAATTTTCCCAACTTTTTCCCAGCATGCCAGTGTGACCCTCAGGGATCTCTGAGTGCCATCTGTGAGTCGAACGGCGGTCAGTGTCAGTGTCGACCCAACGTGGTCGGTAGGAACTGTGATCACTGCGCTCCGGCTACGTTCCTTTTCAGTCCCGCTGGATGCAGATGTGAGTTTCAGAATTCCCTCCGCCTTTTTTGTTTCACACTCTTCTCATATTCCCATTAATCCTAATTTTACCCCAGCTTGTGGCTGTGACTCTCTGGGCTCCGTCAGCCCTTTCTGCCATGAGGCAACGGGTCAGTGTGAGTGTGTCCCGGGTGCAACGGGTCGCCAGTGTTCCCACTGTCTGCCCGGGTTCTGGGGTTTCCCTCACTGCCGACCGTGTTCATGTAACGGTCACAGCGAGAGCTGCCACCCCCAGACTGGAGAGTGTCAGGGCTGCAGGGACTTCACCACCGGACATCACTGTGAGAGGTACGAAGGGATGACATTTTCCTTTATTCATTTCATATTGCTTATTTAGACTGGATAGTTGTCGATGTTTACACAAAAACACAATTTATTACTCAGAAATGAGCAAAAATACCAAAGAAGTCTAAAAACCCTTTTTCAGAAATCAGGCCCTGACAAAAAGATGATTTGAAAATCACCTTATTTAGTGTTCATATTATGATTAAAATATATATTTTTTCACAATTAACCAGATAGTTACCAAATAAAATGAAAGATGTAAAATATAGTTTGTGCATGCATTTTAAAAACAAAGACAGCCTCAAATTTCAGGAACAAAATCTTTCTGACTGTTAAAATATTTTTTTTAAGTTTAAAAAATTAAAACATTGATTATTTTTTATTTAGGTGAGTTTAAACTAATCTTTTTTCATGACATTTGGGTAAACTGATACTGAGCTGATTATCATCAGTAAAGAATTACTTTTTTATAAACAAAGCCCTGAACAGAAGATGTGAAAGAGAAAGGTGACAGGACCGAGGATTGAGCCTTGAGGAACTCCACTTTTGATTTAAGTTGTAAATTCAGCCTGGAATTTTTGCAGCTTCGGTATTTTATAAAGTCAGAATTCTATTATTGAAATTCTGATTTTCCTCTCTACTAACACCAGTGTAGGAGTCAATGAGAAAATGTACTCTTCAGAGCGTGTTTTAGTTTTTTCCCTGCTTCAACGCATTTGAATCACCTGTTCAGAAGCTCATCAGGCCTGTTAATCACTTGCTGTTTAAAATCAGGTGAGTTGAAGCGGGAAACTTCTAAAACATGCAGGATAGCAGTTCTCTAGGACTGGAGTTTCCTACCCCTGCTCCAGATGTTCAAGATCCTTGATTGTTCCTTCCCTTACTTCCAGGTGTATGAATGGTTACCATGGTGACCCACAGCTGGGTTCAGGTGGCCACTGTCGCCCCTGCATGTGTCCAGAGGGGCCACGGAGCGCCCGTCAGTTTGCAGAGAGCTGTTACCTTTTAACCAACCAGCTGGTGTGTGTGTGCAGCCCTGGCTACAAAGGTGTGTGTGTACACACACACACACACACACACACACACACACACACACACACACACACACACACACACACACACACACACACACACACGCTGCAAACCCAGACAACCTTTTGGTCTCCTTGTAATTAGACTGTTGGTGTCTTTGTCATGTTGTTTTTGTTTCTTTTCCAGGAGACAGGTGTGATGAGTGCGCCCCAGGTTACCATGGGAACCCTCTGATTCCCGGAGGACAGTGCATGCCCTGTCAGTGTAACAACAACATTGACATGCATGACCCCGGGTCCTGTAATGCCCGCACAGGTGCCTGTCTCAAATGTCTTCACCACACACAGGGCCGCTCCTGCCAGAACTGCCAACAGGGTTACTATGGCAACGCCGCCACGCAAAGCTGCAGGAGTGAGTATGGTTCGGCGTAAATAATTCAGCGCCTCGTTAAGATGAAGATTATTGATTTTAACAAGCTGGATGACTTTGCTGACTGTGATGAAACCATGATGCCTCCCCTGTGAAGAGTGTGCGTGTTACTCAGCCGGGACGGCACCTCGGGCTTGTTCCTCCCCTGATGACTGTGAGTGTGAGCAGCGTAGCGGCCAGTGTCCCTGTCAGCCCAACGTGGTCGGGCAGAACTGCGACCGCTGTTCTCCTGATACGTGGAACATTGCCAGTGGGACGGGTTGCCAGCCTTGCGACTGCCACCCTGTCCACTCCTATGGCTCCTCGTGCGACGAGGTAGGTGGAACACCACCAGACCTATCTGTGATTAAAGTAAAATTTATTTAAAGACTGTAGACTACATCTATCTGACCCTTAGAGACATCAGTAGGATTTTAAATCATGTGACTTTCATTAGAAAATGAAAGAAAGCTGTTAGACAAAGCCAGCATCTGAGGAGGCTGCAGGTGACTAGTGGGAGAAAACCCGTAAGATGCACTAAATGTGCAAACAACTCAGACTCATAACTTATAACGAAATGACTCTGTGACCATTTTGAGAAGAAAAAAAAGTTAATCCCAGTGACACAAGAGAAAAGCCTTGGAAAACCGAGAGCCTCGCAACATTTTTGAGACATTTTGGAAACTCTTGTGAATGCTGTTCACGGTTCCTCACCAACAGCTGCAGAATAGTAAGAGTCTGCCCTAAGAGCATTTAAAAAGTCTGCAAAAAATGTAATCCACCCCATATTTTTCAATATGCAGTCATTTAAATGGCAAAAGCGTTTACAGGAGCGGGTTTACTCACACGTCTGTACTTTACTGTGAAATCCTAAACAATCAGCAGCTATCATCACCATCTGCGTTAGCACCACAGCTGCTGCAGTTTTCTTTGCCAAGAGCATGACGTGCAACTGAAATGGAGTCTTAACTCTCAACAAGCTGCAGTTGCCAAAGTTTTCCTTCCTCGCTGTGGAATAGGGTGAGGAAATTTTCCCAAAACATTTCCCACAGAGAGCAAAACAGCAGGACTGAACCCTCCCACCTAATCACCGGGGTCTGTGTTTGTGAAACTCTCCTGATTTAAACATTTCAGCTAGCTGAGTTTTCTCCGTTTCTGTTCAGCCTCGTTTCTCTTGAACACACAAAAGTGCACGTGAAGAACAGAAAAATGTGCACAAACCCACACACAAACATGTGGGGTTCTGTGTTTACTGGATCCTGTCCAGCAGAGGAAGGAAGTCTCAGAACACACCGGGCTAAAACTGAATGGACATTTCCCCCCCAAATGAACCGAGCGTTAAAATAACTACAAAGCTTTATTGTGTCTGCATGTGAAACAAAAGCCTTAAAATGGGCAGAAATTAAACAATGAGATTCTGAAGTCTGCATCGTTGACCTGGTTTGTGATGGTTTCTTGCTGCAGGTTACAGGACAGTGTGTGTGCAAGCCAGGATTTGGAGGCCAGACGTGTCGGGAGTGCAGAGAGCTTTTCTGGGGAGATCCAGAGGTCAAATGTCAGGGTAGGGCTTTTTCAACCATCGTGAACATTTACAGTAGCCTGGCAAGCCAGACTAAATAAATGTAATATTTAGTCTGGCAACGCTCCATTGACGGTTCTCGGTTGTGGGGCGGGTTCTACCGTTGTCTTTCAAATGATCTCCGCATTCCACTGGACAATGAATGTGACATACTCACCGCAACAGCCATCGGTAAATGAGGCGGTCAACAGTTGAAGAAGGAGAAAACACGTCATTTTTTCTTAAAAAAAAAAGCTCTTGAATCCATCTATCTGCTCCTGATTCTAATGAAGCCCAGGTTCTAATAGTCCAACATGGATGTAAAAGCCATTTCAAACAAGCTGTCGCCATCTTGTTTCACTCTGTTGCATCATCCCACCCACCAGGCATATGGAGTGTCCCGATTGGCCCACAAAGCGGATAAAGCTCTGTGATTTGTTCACTAAGCAGATAGAGCACTATGATTGGCCCACCATTATGGACCAATCACAGCTCTTTATGTGTTTGGAACCCCTCTAGAGAGCTGTGATTGGCCAGCCAGAATGCTGTTAGGGGCTGCGGAGGTTCCAGTGGAGCGTTGCTAGACCAAACTTTGCAAAGCAAGGATCTGGTCTCGTTCACTAGGCTAGATTTACAGCACAGCAAGGAAGACAAATCCTCTCAAATTCATAGTAAAACATAAAAAAGAACAGAGTCACATCTGATATAGTTTTTAGAATATTCTGTTTGCCAACGTAAGAAATGATTGTAAAATGTTTAATATTTAAATAAAGTTTAGTCCAAAAAGTTTAAAAAACACTAATCATGACTTAGATGAGCACACACAAGATGAACCCCAAAACGGCCTTTTTTTGGATGTAAATTTTACTTTTATTGTATTTGAAACACGTAGCAGCTCAAATGTTCTTACAAATAACAGTTTTATTTGAAATTAAATTCCACTACAGCTTAATATAAAACAGCAATGATTCAGTCAGTAACACCTCCTTTTGTTGTTCTTTCATTTGAAATTTTAATAATCTTTTGTTCTCTTCCCGTTTTCCTTTTCAATCACAGCAACTAGAGTAAATAGAAGAAAAATAATGTTAAAAACAAACATCAGTGATTAATTATCTGCACTTATAGCACCTTTCAGTGTGAGAGGACTCCAAAGTGCTTTACACTACAGTGTATCATTCATTCGTTCACACACACGCTCACACGCTGATGGGGATGAGCTACAATTTTTATTTTATTTATTTATTCTTTATTTAACCAGGAAGGTCCCATCGAGATCTAAAACCTCATTTTCAAGGGAGTCCTGGCCTAGAGGCAGCAAAAGTTACAGTTACTAGACATGTTATGTACAAAGTTACAGAAGGAAGTTACAACACAGGGAATCCGTCTCGAGGGTTCTTAGTCTGGATTTAAACGCATTCAAGGACATAAACTGGGTTAATTTCAGCCTGGTCCGTGCAGAAGGAGCAGAGTGAACGAAGGCTCTTTTGTCCAGTTCGGTGCGAGCTAACGGAACACAAAGTAACAGCTGATCGTCTGACTGTGAGGAGTTACACTTCTCCTTGAGATTAAGTTACAGATGTAGGTGGTCGATATCCAAGCATAGCCGTATAAATGAAGGTGTACCAATGTCCCAACCTCCTGGTGGACAAAGAAGGCCGTCCTACAATCAGTGGCGGTTTTACCATTAGGCATAGGTCGGCGGCTGCCTGGGGCCCCTTATGTGGGGGGCCCCCTAGCCCTGACTGCAGGCATCCCTCTGTTAATGCCACAATGGACTATTCCTTTAAGACGCCGATGCACAAACAGGAAGTGATTGGTAGTCATTCCACTCCAATCCAGTTGGTGGCAGTAATGCACTAAATTATTATTTGCCAAGTGCCATGAGACCACAAATAAGAAGAAGAAGAGAGGCGAGAGCGTTCGTAACAAACTCGAAGTGGTAGTCAAAACATGAAATGGAGCATGAAATGGAGTTATCCTAGTGGCTCCAATAAGAGAAAGAAGCAGCTTGTTTCAAAAAACCTTTCATCTTCTTTTTTTTCCCGTGTCCTGTCTGGCTGTGAAGTAAACAGAATTGATGTCTGAATGCTGGTGACACAGATTTACTCTCAGGTGGAGCATCAACGCGTCTGCTTTTAATGTCACGCCTGATACTTAAAACTTTATTGTTATTGTTTTTGAATGCTTTGTAATTCTGACCAGACACGGAGTCAGAGGTGAAAGAGAAAGGAAGAGACAAAAGGTGGGGAGAGAAGGGGGTGGGGGGGGTTCCACAAAAATAAACAATAATGAACAAGAGTCTGCTTCTAGACCAGCAGAAAGAGAGAAGAAAAAAACAAAGGGACACAACAACAATACAAGATCCAACTATCACTGCGTCAACTTGATGAAGAAATATAAAATCAACATTGTTTAACTGAACAATCACGATAATAAATTACAGTGCATTTAGTGCCCACCACAGCCTTAAGACATGTGTTGAACGTGCCCAAGTCCATACTTATGAGAGCACCATGTGAGCACCTGTGTGTGTACACGCGCTTGTTTATGTAAGGTTTCTCTATAGGAGCGTCCAATAGAGAGTGTGAGGGGCCACAGATCTGCCCCCCAAAGATGTGTAGGAGACGGAGGGAGCTCCAAATCCCAGAGATCCAGGAGCTGCTCCAGAGCGCAGGGACCCCAGGAAGACTGCGACCAGAAAAGCCCCCGCCCCCCTCGAGAGGTGCAGAGGATTGCCCCGGGGGGCCACAACCAGCAGCCGGCAGAGTCCCGGGAGATATCGGCGGCAAGCCCACAGGCCCGCCCGCAGCCTCCCACCCCCTAGCCGGCCAAGCCCGGGACCCAATGACCCGGGACCCAGGGGCGACCACCCCCGCCGGGGACCCAGCAGAGCCCAAAAAGCTTTTATCTTCACTTCCAAACGTGACGTCGTTTTTCATTGTAAACATCAAAGGAAGCAGAAAGGAAAGAAAATAGAAAATGTTTAAAGGGAGGAAAACATGGACCAAAATGGAAAATAGAAAAATAAAGAAAGGCAAAAGCACGGGAGCACTGCCAGGAAGAAGAATGAACTCAGAGGGAGAGAGAGACAGGAAAAAGAGAAGGACTAATAAAAAGTGAAAATAACTCGTGTCAGAAGAGGGGAGAGTTTCGCAAATCCAGTTAAAGATAAGATTGTCGAAAATTTAGTGTAAGGGGGCCCCATGTCGGTGTTCGCCTTGGGCCCCCAAATTGCTAAATCCACCACTGCCTACAATGTAGCCACAGCTGCCCTGGAGCGCACTGACAGAGGCGAGGCTGCCGAGCGCTGGCATCGCCAGTCCCTCTGACCACCACCAGCAGCTAGGGAGGGTTACATGTCTTGCCCAAAGACACAACAGCAGCATTCTCTACCAGGAATCGGGATCGAACCTGCAACCTTCTGATTACTGGACAACCTGATCTAGCTCCTGAGCTACTGCTGCCTGATTTTCATCAGCATAAAATACTTTGATAAATCAGATATAAAAAAATTAAAATCTTTATAAACTGTAAAAATGTTCAAGTTTTAAAAGGGTGCGACTTTGTGAGGATTGTTAGTTTTAAGGTTTTTATTTGTGCGTTTGCCACATAGAACATGAGGAAAAGCAGAATCGAACCCGTGGGATGTGAGTCAGCGCCAGCTGAACAGTAGCGGAGGCAAAAAGGGGCAGAAGACACTGAGAAAGAGGCAAAGGCAGGACAGCAGGAGGAGGAAAATGGGATTGATTCCGCTCATGGGAACCAGATGTTCTCCAAAATTCTCAGGACATCACAGACGAACGCCCAGAGATGCCGGGATTCGTAATTTATTCCAGCTGCGATCCCTGCTGCTCTCATAGCTGTTGGTCCAGCTGTTTGCTTCCTGTCTGATCAGATGATCCACCGATGCTGTGAGAAACGAGTGGGAGATGCTGCCGGAGCATCCTAAATACACGCAGCCGCTTCCTATAGACGACTTTTGAAGGTCAAAGGTCAATGTGCTGGTCTTGTTGGCATATTTTTGTGATAAATCAGAGGAAGCTTGCTGGGCTGTAGCTCCAGGATGGATTAGACTGATAGCAGCTGCGGTCATGCATTCCTTCTGTCTGACTCTCAAACGTCTTCCTTCTCAAACGAACGACGGAAACCCTGGTGCTTGTTTTTGTGCAGCGACCCAAACTTAAAGGGTCAGCAGGACCTTCTGAGGTCAACAATCTTTTTCCTGTAGGTGAAAGAGTCCAAATAAACTCTATGTTAACCCAAATGTTAATTTAAGTTCTAGCAGATTATATGTGCTTGTTTTTTATTTCTGAAAACTCAGACAAGAATTAAACAAACACAAACTGTAGTGAAGTCCAGACAAATCAGTTAAAGCTACTATAATAATCATTTTTATGGTTTTGTTGCATCGATTTTTGCATTTTGCATCAAGGTTTTACTCATTTTTTTTATTTATTTATGTGAAACCATCGAAAAAAACATAAAATTGCACATGCGCTCATCCATATTCCTAGTGCATAAAATAAGACAAAATATGGATTAAAATTAACACATGCTTATGAAGAAAAACAAGAAAATATACAAAAAAAAAGCTAAAGTGTGTGTGTGTCTTTCTTCTCCATCCCCAGTGAGTCGTGGACTACGTTTACATGCAGCCAATATCCGGGTTATGATCGGGTTAAGGTCGGTATTCGGGTTTCTGAGTTGATCAGAATAACCCGTTTACAAGCATAAATAGAAAGTTACCCCTAACTTGCATAACCCGATTTAAATACGGACGTTGGGGTAGCGTCAGGACGTATGGACTACGTCCAGACGCAATATGCCTCATTTCCGGTTCTTGTTCCGGTATCCCGGAAAACAACATGTTTCCCAGTTCGGAAGAGATAGCGACCGGGTTTGTTTGCGCTTTAGTTTCCTCGTCACTCCAAAAGTGTGGTGCTGTGCCGCGACTCGCCATGTTGCTCCCAACTTGTTGTTTACTTCCGGTGTTCTGGCGCATACAAGACGTCTCGCTACTCAAAAGACCAAGATTCCATGCGAACAGAGCATGCGCAGAACACACACTTTGATGGGGATATCCCGGTATGCGTTTACACGACCAAACATTCGGGTTAGAAAAGGGTTACCCCAGGTGTAGCGGTTATGAGCATATCCGGGTTTTTGGCGGTGTTTACATGGACCTGCGGAACCGGGTTATTGTGAATATTCGGGTTTTAAAAGGGTTACTGGCCGCATGTAAACGCACTCATGGTGGATGGCTGCTTGTACTGAACCAGGATTCTCTGGAGGTTTCTTCCTGCTAAAAGGGAGTTTTCCTCTCCACTGTCGCTGCATGCTTGCTTAGTATGAGGATTGCTGTATAGTCACTGACACTAGTCAGTGACTCGATGCAATTTGCTGGGTTCCTTATATAGGAAACATTATTTCTGATTGGCTTAATGAACTGACCTGAATTTGAATGTTTATTATGTGAAGTGCCTTGAGACGACTCTTGTCGTGATTTGGCGCTTTATAAATAAACTTGAATTGAATTTAGAGGTGCAGGATCTCTTTTCTTTACTAACTCTTTACTTTCTCTACTAAATCAAAGAAAATTGGAACAATGCAAAAAAAAAAGATCAGTCGTGACATAAATTATACCAGTTCAGTTGAGAATACATTTCTTGATAAAAATAGAAAAAACGGCCAGTTTTATTCCAAAGGAGGAGTATGCTGAAGGCTCTGTCACGAACAAAAATATATAAAAGATTATTTCCACTTTTCTTCCTCTTTTTCTGTTTCCAGCCTGTGACTGTGACCCTCGGGGAATCTCCAGTGAGCAGTGCCACCGAGCCACTGGCGACTGCACCTGCATGGAGGGCGTTTCGGGTCCGAGGTGTGATAAGTGTGCCAGAGACCACTGGGGGGACTTCCCCTCCTGCGAGCCCTGCCATCAGTGTTTTGGTGTCTGGGACACGGTGGTCAGCGAGCTGACCAATCAGACTCGACGTCTGGAGTCCCAGGTAACACAGCTGCTTACCAGCGGAGTGACGGCGCCGTACAAGGAGCTGGTCAGCAGCTTGGAGAAAAACGCCAAGGCTGTGAGAGAGCTAGTGGAGAACAAGACGGCTGCGGTGAAGCTGGAGAAGGTACAAGACCTGACACACCAGATTACGTAAGTAAGAAAACGTAGCAGCCGAGTCTGAGACCTTCTACGGACTTCTACATTAATGTCTCGTGTTGTCTCAGGGGTTTGATGGCGTTCCTCAGCGGGAAGCTGAACACCACAGAGGAAGACCTGGACCTTGTCTTTCATGACAAGAACATCACAGATAAGGATTTAGATGATCTGACGGATGAGGCCACCATGCTGGAGAAAAAGGTGGAAGAGCTGAGACAGCAGGTCTACAATGCCAAGAACGCCAACATCCACGGTAACTGAATAAAACAAGACTTTCTTTTATTTTGAAATATCCGAGGGGAAGTAACATTTCAGGAGCGAATAAGAAGAAGGGGGCATTCCCATTTTTGTAGGAGGCGTTCCCGTTTACAAACTAAAATGCCCTTTTTAGCGGCTGGCCGGATGATATTGGCCTGGCCTAGCAAGGTGATGTCTTGCTAGGCCAGGCGCCTTACTTGTGAGGATGCTGTCCTTCCTTGGTCAAAGAAAACAGTTAAATGAATGAGCGATCAGCCCGATAGCTACAATTAGTTGACTTACGTTTAAACTTGAAATTTGCCCCCGAAGTAACTGCCGGTGTTACGTTGATATGTGTTCCCCCCTCGAGATCTGTTTCTTTTGCACCCAGCGGCGAGTTTGAACCATCCACTCGCAAAAAAAATGTCCTAATCCTCACCCTAACCATAAACCTGAAACAAACCTAAAAACTGTGCTACACATAATATTCGCAAAAATTATATTTATGCAAAACATAAATTTGTGGTGGTTATGGGTAGGGTAAGGGTTAGGGTTATCTCTTGTGATTGGGTCGATTCCACTTGCAGCTGGGTGCAAGAGTAACAGCTCTTGAGGGGGAACACATATCGACGTAACACCAGCTTCTGATCCGCAGTCCTTTTGAAAATACCGCGCTGCATTCTGGGAAGTTTTTGACCAAGGCCAGGCTACAAGTCACCTCCCATGTATCCTTGCTCAGCTAGCTAAACGGCTAACGAGCGGGTGCCTCGGCGGAACATGAACGTTGGAAACATGCAGGAAACTTTTTACTAATTGTCTTAATGACCTGAACTATATGGGTGTTTACTTTGTGAACGACTCGTCGTGATTTTACGCCGTATAAATAGACTGAGTTGAATTAAATGTGGTCATGGCTGTTAACTGTTCAGCACCCATAGGAAATAATCAGAGGCTCACTGTTTTACCAATGACATTTACCTGGCTTCCTGTCTTATTCCCTAACCCTTTACAGGAGCCATGAACACTATTTCTGCTGCATATATGGAGTCCCAAAATGCAGAGCTACGTTCAAATGCCTCCAGCAGCGATCCAGGCAACACGATAGAGCAGTCAGCCGCAGTACGGAAAGCCACAGAGGACAAACTCAGCAGCAGTCAAAGGGAATTTGACCGCAAACACCAAAGAAATGAACAGAAGCTGGAAAAACTGTCCAACGAGCTGAAAATTTTGGACATGTCCCCGCTTAGTGAGAAGGTGAGAGCCCCCAAAATTTAAAAAGTTTCCACACTGCCAACTTTTATTGGAATTTAATGTTTGTGTAGATGTGTGGCGGTGCAGCTGGAGCTGAAGGTGAGGGCTGCGCTCCCTGTGGTGGGCTGGGTTGTGTCGGGGAAAATGGAGCGCCACACTGTGGAGGAGAGGGATGCAACGGCCTCATCACAAAGTCTAAAAATGTTCTTAAGGTGTCCCAGAACCTGGACCAGGAGATCCAAGAGGCTGTGCAGGAGGTGGACAAGCTCTCCAGGATGGTAGGAGACGTTTGTTAGAAGCAGTTTAAGATAAACGAGGTTAACGCCAGAAAATGACTGGACCTGTTTGGGGTCAGGTGTGGGACGCCAACATGCGTGCTAATGAGGCCAAGGTGAAAGCGATGGAGGTGTTGATCAAGTCCAACCGAAGCAGAGAGAGAGTGGAGGAGAGCAACGACCAGCTCCGCAACCTCATCCAGGAGATACGAGAACTTCTCTCCAGTGAGTTGAGTTCATTCAGCAGCGTCTTGTGGCTCAAAACACCTCTGCAGTTTATTTTTTGTTTTGTTTATCCAGATGACAAAGCAGACAAGTCGGTGATCGAGGCGGTGGCCAATGACGTCCTAGCTCTGGAGATGCCCACATCTGCGAAAAAACTACAGGAGCTGACAAACGAGATCAGGGAGAAGGTCAGCACTCTGACCAGCGTGGAGACGATCCTCAGTCGGAGCGCAGAGGACGTCCAAGCTGCAGAGTCCCTCTTGAGACAGGCCAAAGCAGCCAGGTAACGTGTTGTCCTAAAGCGCCAAAAAGAAGAATTCTCCACAAGTAACGACGACTTGGTCTAGAAATCTAACACGTAGACGATCGACTAAAACGTGAACCAGCGTCTTGCATTCAAGAACCTAACGTCCTTTTTCTTCCTGTCAGTGAGGAAGCGTCAAACTTGAAGGAGAAATCAGACGCGGTGAACGCAGCACTGAACGAGACTGAGCATGCTCAGAACACCACCCTGCACGCCATCCTGCTGGCTCAGAAAAACATCGCAGGAACGTTGCAGCTGCTGAACTCTGTGAGTCTGACTTTACAAATGATCTCTCAGTATAATACAAATCACACAAAGGCAGGAAGAACAAGAAAATGATTGCACGTCCGTTAAAGTTTACATGTTTAAAAAGCGACTGGTGTGTGCGCGTCAGGCTGAGACGGAGACAGAGAAGTCCGAGCTGAAGCTCAGCAACACCACGGGCCGTCTGGTGCAGCTGGAGCGGGAGGTCGGCCTGCTGAGGCAGAACATCCTGGAAATGAACCAGAAGGTGGAAACAACTGAACGGATCACCGAGCAGGCCAGACAGAACGCTGAGGAGGCGCAGCGGGTCTCGAGCACACACTCACCGTGACTTCCAACAGCAGCTCGCATTTAAGATGTCGATGTCTGATCCTCATCTGTTTGGTGCTTTGTGTGTAGGAGTTCGATGACAAGGTCAAAGATCAGTTTGAGGTGATGGAGGAGCAAATGGTGGATAAAGGGGAGTCGGTGCTGCAGGCAAGAAGGAGAGCAGATGAACTGCAGCAAGAAGCCAGAGAGCTGCTGGAGCAGAGCAGCGAGAAGCTGCAGAGACTCGGAGGTGAGCAGTTTCACTGCGTGTTCATAGTTTCATGATGTTACAACCTTCACTAATCACGGGTGGCATTTGGAGGTCAGGGGTCTCATTTATCAAACATGGCGTAGAATCCTTACTAAAACCGTACTTAAGCTCCTTACTTACTCCAAGTAGGTGTGTGATCTATCAAACATGGAGGACGCACAGCTGCACGCAACCTCCGCTTCATAAATCAGAGACTATCTAGAAAGGTTCTCAGCTGCATTTTAGTCACATCCCACCCTCACCCTAACCCTAACCCTAACCCGGCCACCCTACGGAGGAAACTCATTTCGGCCGCTTGTATCCGCGATCTCGTTCTTTCGGTCATTACCCAAAGCTCATGACCATAGGTGAGGATTGGGAGGTAGATCGACCGGTAAATCGAGAGCCTGGCTTTCTGGCTCAGCTCCCTCTTCCCCACGACAGATCGGCTCAGCGTCCGCATCACTGCAGACGCCGAACCAATCCGCCTGTCGATCTCCCGATCCCTCCTACCCTCACTCGTGAACAAGACCCCGAGATACTTAAACTCCTCCACTTGAGGTAGGACCTCTCCCCCGACCCGGAGGTGGCAAGCCACCCTTTTCCGGTCGAGAACCATGGTCTCAGATTTGGAGGTGCTGATCCTCATCCCAGCCGCTTCACATTCGGCCGCGAACCTACCCAGCAAGAGCTGAAGGTCAGAGCTGGATGAAGCTAGGAGGACCACATCATCCGCAAAAAGCAGAGACGAGATTCTCCTGCCACCAAACTCGACACACTCCACACCACGGCTGCGTCTAGAAATTCTGTCCATAAAAGTGATGAACAGAACCGGTGACAAAGGGCAGCCCTGGCGGAGTCCAACCCTCACTGGGAACAGGTCCGACTTACTACCGGCTATGCGGACCAAACTCACGCTCCTCTGGTAAAGGGACTGAATGGCCCTTAACAGAAAGCCACCCACCCCATACTCCTGGAGCGTCCCCCACAGGGTGCCCCTGGGGACACGGTCATAAGCCTTCTCCAAATCCACAAAGCACATGTGGATTGGTTGGGCAAACTCCCATGCCCCCTCCATCACCCTTGCAAGGGTATAGAGCTGGTCCACAGTTCCACGGCCAGGACGAAAACCACATTGCTCCTCCTCTATCTGAGATTCAACTATCGATCGGACCCTCCTCTCCAGTACCTTGGCGTAGACCTTTCCAGGGAGGCTGAGGAGTGTGATCCCCCTATAGTTGGAACACACCCTCAGGTCACCCTTCTTAAAGATGGGGACCACCACCCCGGTCTGCCACTCCCTAGGAACTGCCCCCGATGACCACGCAATGTTGTAGAGACGTGTCAACCATGACAGCCCTACAACATCCATAGCCTTGAGATACCCAGGACGAACCTCATCCGCCCCCGGGGCTCCGCCGCTGTGTAGTTGTTTGACTACCTCAGCAACTTCTGCCCCCGAGATCGGACAGTCCATCCCCAGGCCTCCCAGCTCTGGTTCCTCCTCGGAATGCGCATCGGTGGGATTGAGGAGCTCCTCAAAGTATTCCTTCCACCGTCCGACTATAGCCTCAGTTGACGTCAGCAGCTCCCCATCCCCACTGTAAACAGTGTGAGCGAGTTGCTGCCTTCCTCTCCTGAGGCGCCGGACAGTTTGCCAGAACCTCTTTGGAGCCGATCGATAGTCTTTCTCCATGGCCTCACCAAACTCCTCCCACGCCCGAGATTTTGCCTCGGCAACTGCCACTGCTGCACCCCGCTTGGCTATCCGGTACCTGTCTGCTGCCTCCGGAGACCCACAGACCAGCCACGCCCTGTAGGCCTCCTTCTTCAGCCTGACGGCTCCCCGAACCTCTGGTGTCCACCAGCGGGTACGGGGTTGCCACCACGACTGGCACCGGCCACCTTACGACCACAGCTAACAACAGCCGCCTCGACAATCGCAGAGTGGAACAAGGCCCACTCGGACTCAATGTCCCCCACTGCTCTCGGGACGTGGTCAAAGCTCTGCCGGAGGTGGGAGTTGAAGACCGTCTTGACAGGTTCTTCTGCCAGGCGTTCCCAGCAGACCCTCACTATGCGTTTGGGTCTGCCAGGTCTACGCGGCATGTTCCCTTGCCATCTGATCCAACTCACCACCAGGTGGTGATCAGTTGACAGCTCCGCCCCTCTCTTCACTCGGGTGTCCAAAACATACGGCCGCAGGTCAGATGATACGACTACAAAATCTATCATCGACCTGTGACCTAGGCTGCCCTGGTACCAAGTGTACCGGTGGGCATCCTTATGTTCGAACATGGTGTTCGTTATGGCCAAACTGCGGCTTGCACAGAAGTCCAATAACAAAACACCGCTCGAGTTCAGATTAGGTGGGCCGTTCCTCCCAATCACACCCCTCCAGGTCAAGCTGTCATTGCCCACGTGAGCATTGAAGTCCCCCAGCAGGACAATGGAGTCCCCTGATGGAGCACTATCTAGCACTCGTCCCAGGGACTCCAAAAAGGGTGGGTACTCTGAACTGATATTTGGCCCATAAGCACAAACAACAGTCAGGACCCGTTCCCCGACCCGAAGGCGCAAGGAAGCTACCCTCTTGTCCCCCGGGGTAAACCCCAACACACAGGCAGAGAGTCTCGGGGCTAACAAAAAGCCAACCCCAGCCCTCCGCCTCTCACCCAGAGCAACTCCAGCAAAGTAGAGTGTCCAACCCCTCTCCAGGTCTCGGGTTCCAGAGCCAATGCAATGTGTCGAGGTGAGTCCGACTATATCTAGCCGGTACCGCTCAACCTCTGCCACAAGCTCCGGCTCCTTCCCCGCCAGCGAGGTGACGTTCCATGTCCCAAAAACTAGTTTTCTTGTCCGGGGATTGGACCGCCAAGGCTCCCGCCTTGGTCTGCCACCCGATTCGCATTGCACCGGACCCTTCATGTTCCTCCTGCGGGTGGTGGGTCCACAGTTGGACGAGCCCATGTATCCGGTTCGGGCTGGGCCCGGCCGGGCCCCATGGGCGAAAGCCCGGCCACCAGGCGCTCGCTCACGGGCCCCAACCCCAGGCCTGGCTCCAGGGTGGGACCCCGGTAACCCTCCGGGCCGGGTACTCCGACTCTTCGTTTTAACCGCCATGAAAGATCCTTCGAACCGTTCTTTGTCTCACCCTTCACCTAAGACCAATTTGTCATGGGAGACCCTACCAGGGGCACTAAGTGCCCCAGACAACATAGCTCCTAGGATCATTAGGGCACTCAAACTCCTCCACCACGATAAGGTGACGGTTCAAGGATTGCAAAACTAATAAGAGAAAATCCACAGAGTGGCACAGCGTTGCTGAAGCCGTCAATGTTGTGAGTTGTTCAGAGAGATCTGTGGCGGATATAAAAAAATAATGGTCCAATCGGGATTTGATCCCCAGACTCCCGGGTGAAAGTCACGCACGCTAACCAGTCATCCAAACCGAGATCTCCCTTGTACAAGTAGGCAGGGCCCATGATCAATCGGGTCACAGTGACAGGACACACACTGTCACAGACGCATGACATTCTGTCTCAATCTGTCCCCCTGCTGATATTCTGCGCTTCAGGCTGTGTGTGTGTGTGTGCGCGCGCGTGTGCATATGGGGGGTCTTGTTCTGTGTGAACAGGAAGCGGTACAAGTGATAATGCTGCAGGATTTCATAATTGTATCTTCTCAGCAGCAGCGCAGCAGGTGCTCTCCGTGTCCAACACGTGTGTAAGCCAGGTCCTTAGTCAGCTTAAAGTTGCGCACATTTTCCGCTAAGTTTTCTTTCATGAATCCCAAAGTTTGCGTGGAATGTTGCTCACGCAGTTTTCCGACCCCGTTTTGTGCGTAAGCACGCTTGATGAATGAGCCCCCTGCTGTTCTCCATAAGCCTGCTGTGGTCTCTAGTCTGAATGAATGCCTTGTGATTTGTGTTCTGTGGGGGAACAAAAGCTCTGGTGCTCCAGTATGAGGAAGTAGAAGTCAGCTGGAGGGAAGGGGACAGAAGGTTACTGGATTACGAGACTTACTAATTAATATTCATGGTGTGCAAACATCTCACACCTGATTGGTTAACAGCACGACAGCTCTGCTCGCCCTTCTCTTTTGGGTAAAAGGCTGGCCCCAACACTGATGTTTTATCTCTTTATCAAAACCTTGAACATGTCCCACCTTGTCATGGAGTAGCTAATGCTAATAGTTAGCTTGCACTAGCCAAGACAAATGGCCGTTTCTCAATACTCAAGGACGCTAGTACGCTCTTGTGTACTAGACAAGTGTGTTCTTGGCAAGGACACCAGAAAGTCCGTTCCACCGAGGACGGCATTTGGAACAGAACCGTTTTCAGTTGTGTCCTTTAAACAAGCGCTGCTTGTTGCTACAGTTAAAAAAAAAAACACCTGACATAAACATAAAAGTCTAGTTTGTTCCTTAAAGAGCAAGTCACCCCCTGCCAGATTCTTGCTCAACTGCCACTTCCTGTTTGAAAAATGCAACAAATGTTGTTGCCTAGCAGACCGAGAGGGCGGAGCCGCTAACAAATACACACGCATGACATTGTGACATCATAATGTACCATCTAACATCACAGTGTACCTCTTAGCCAATAGTGATGGCAGATTTAAATTCAAATGCAGTGCTGAGTTTTTGCCTGACGACGGTGCATCGCTGGCAGTTTTAGGCAGAAAATTAAAATTTTAACTAAGATGCAGTAAAGTGCAGAATTATTGACTCAATTTGTCTACAGCACGATTGGACACTCATTTATATAGTTTTATCAGCAAATAAATGGTGATTTGGAGTGACTTGCTCTTTAAATAACTAAATAACAACAAGAACGTATTATTTGTATTATACTTGGCCCACTTTTGATGAAAACTATTAAAATACTATCATTTCTCACTCTTTAATGAATAAAATTAGTTTATTTTTCATCAGAACAGCGCTACGGTGCTTTTATTTTGACAGTGGGTTAGCTAATTAGCGTTTTGAAGGATCATGAGGAGTGAAACCCAGACACACAGCAAAATTTACAGTTTACACAGGATTATTTACAATAACCTTAAATTATTTTATTTATATTTCGAATGTAAACATTACAGTTATCAGCTTTCTCCTCTGATGTTCGGAGTTTAACTGTTTGCGACGCAATGCATTACGGGAAAACTTTGCTGTCCCAAGTCTGCGGAAGGATGCACTGATGCATCCTCGATACAGTGGGCGGAGCAAGAACACATCCTCGATACAGTGGGCGGAGCAAGAACACATCCGGGAACTTTGAGCGAACTTGCCGTTATGCATAATTAGGATGGGAACAGTCCTTGGGCCATCATTGATGACGTTTCACAAGGATGTGATTACACAAGTCTTGAAAAGTATGCATATTGAGAAACGGCTTCTCTCTTGGCTACAAAGATCCGTACAGCCTTTTGCAGTCCCAAATCAAGGTGGGCGGAGCCATGAGTGCAAATCTTCCCTGTGAGGTAGAGAACCCGGCTTTTTCTAACCCGAACTTTTTCTCGTCTGGCTCCACGTGTCAAACGCAGGTGATGCGGGTTGAACATTTTCACATTCAGCATGTATGTGAAACTCAGAGTGACCGATGTATTACATGAGGCTTTTAGGATCATCAGCATTGCATTCTCAGAGAAAACTTTCATTTACATCAGCATCAGCTAACATTTATTGGTGTGTTTGCAGAGCTGGAGAACTCTTATGAAGCCAATCAGCACATCCTGGAGATCAAAGCTGCAGAGCTGGATGAGCTAGAACAAACTGCCCGCCGCATCCTGGACGAGATGAGCCAAAAAGTGACCCAGTACATCTCCTGTCAGAATTAAAACCGTCACCAGCTGGAACGATAAAGTTGTCTCTGCTACCGGATGACTCTGCCCTTTTGTAGCTGATCAAACCAAACACTGTGATTTATTTGAGATTGTCAGTGCCAAAGTGTTAAAAGCTGCCAGAGAGCATTAAAGTGTCTCAAAGGAAACCACTAAAAGCCAGCGTGACCTCAAAACCAAGAATGTGTGGAGAAATTTCAATGAGTTAGTTTCATAAGTTACTGAAACCGTTTTAACTGCATATGAGTGATAAGTGTTCATTACTGAAACATTAAAGTTTAGCTATAACAAATATAAACTGAAGCGTTTCAGTCGTCGTTTTTGTGTCTGTTGATGGAAACATTGGTTTTGCGTGCAGAAGTCCTTTTGCAAAACCTTTTCTACAGCTTGGCTTTTTGTGGGCAATCATTTATTGCAAAGTTGTCTTGAGCAACAATTTGCAGGGTTTACAAGAGACTTAACACAACACACACACACACACACACACACACACACACACACACACACACACACACACACACACACACACACACACACACACACACACACACACACACACACACAACAAAAATATAAACGTAACACCTTTGTTTCTGCTCTGATTTTTCATGAGATGGACTTAAAGATCTAAAATTCATTCCAGATATACAATATCACCATTTCTCTCAAACATTGTTCACAAATCAGTCTAAATGTGTGATAGTGAGCACTTCTGCTTTGCTGAGATAATCCATCCCACCTCACAGGTGTGCCACATCAAGATGCTGATCTGACATGAGTAGTGCACAGGTGTACCTTATACTGCCCACAATAAAAGGCCACCCTGGAATGTGCAGTTGTTTGTTTTATTGGGGGTCTGGGGACTCGGAACCGGTCAGTATCTGGTGTGACCACCATTTGCCTCATGCAGTGCAACACATCTTCTTCGCATAGAGTTTATCAGATTGTCAATTGTGGCCTGTGGAATGTTGGTCCACTCCTCTTCAATGGCTGTGCGAAGTTGTTGGATATTAGTGGAAACTGGTACACGCTGTCGTATACTCCGGTCAAGTACATCCCAAACATGCTCAGCGGGTGACATGTCCGGTGAGTATGCTGGCCATGCAAGAACTGGGACATTTTCAGCTTCCAAGAATTGTGTACAGATCTTTGCTACATGGGGCCGTGCATTATCTTGCTGGAACATGAGGTGATGTTCATGGATGTACGGCACAACAATGGGCCTCAGGATCTCATCACTGTATCTCTGTGCTTTCAAAATGCCATCAATAAAATGCACCTGCGTTCTTCATCCATAACAGATGCCTGCCCATACCATAACCCCCACACCACCATAGGCCACTCGATCCACAACATTTGGGCCATTCCCATCTGTACCGGGTCGGCCCGGGCTGGGTAGCGTAGGTTGTTTACATATCTGGGTGGCCTGGTATTTTTCCGGGCCAACCAAGGCTCATTCTCAGCCCTCTTCTCGAGGGGGTCTGCTTCAGGCCGACCAGGGCCAGCACACCCACTGCTGACAGCAAATTCACACCTTCCATTAGAGCAAGCCTCTGATTGGTGGGTAGAATCAGCCCACATGGGCTTAAGGCAAGGATGTGTGGAATCAACCGGGCCAGGCTGGGGCCCACTGGCGCTACCCGGCCCGGGCCGACCTGGTACAGATGGGAATGGCCCAATTGACATCAGCAAAGCGCTCACCCACACGACGCCACACACGCTGTCTGCCATCTGCCCTGAGAGTGGGCAGTATAAGGTACACCTGTGCACTACTCATGATGTCGGATCAGCATCTTGATGTGGCACACCTGTGAGGTGGGATGGATTATCTCAGCAAAGCAGAAGTGCTCACCATCACACATTTAGACTGATTTGTGAACAATGTTTGAGAGAAATGGTGATGTTGTGTATCTGGAATGAATTTTAGATCTTTAAGTCCATCTCATGAAAAATCGGAGCAGAAACAAAGGTGTTGCGTTTATATTTTTGAGTGTATATATATATGTATATACATATATTTACATACATGTATATAAATATATGTATATACATATATACACGTATATATATATATGTATATATATTTACATATACATATATATGTAATTATATATACATATATTTATATATACATATGTATATATAAATATATACATACATATATGTATATACATATATATAAAAACTTCAAACTGCTAAACATTGATGCATTGCTCTAAAAATATACATTTGTTGAATTATAGTTTACTGTCTGCAGTGATGCGGGCGTTGTACCGGTCTGTCGTGGTGAAGAGAGAGCTGAGTCAGAAGGCAAAGCTCTCGATTTACCGGTCGTTCTACGTTCCTACCCTCACCTATGGTCATGAGCTTTGGGTAATGACTGAAAGAACGAGATTGCGGATACAAGCGGCCGAAATGAGTTTCCTCCGCAAGGTGGCCGGGCTCAGCCTTAGAGATAGGGTGAGAAGATCGGTCATCCGGGAGGGGCTCAGAGTAGATCTGTTGTTCATCCTCATCAAGAGGAGCCAGTGGAGGTGGCTCGGGCATGTGGTCAGGATGCCTCCTGGTGATGTTTTCCGGGCACGTCCAATTGGGAGGAGGCCCAAAGGAAGACCCGGCACACGCCTTGGGATTCCCTAGAAGAGCTGGCCCAAGTAGCTGAGGAGAGGGAAGTCTGGGCGGCTTAGGCTGCTGCCCCCGCGACCCGACTGAATAAGCAGCTGAAAATGGATGGATGGAGTTCACTGTTTGAATACATTAAATAAAGAAAAAGCATATTTACTTTTTTTATTTTCAAATGGGACTTGAACATTTAGGTTCTGCAAAAAGTATTTTTCAGATACTGGTACCAAAACCAGGAACCATTAAATACAATCAAGGAGAATCAGAAGGTACCCTGCCCCATTAAAGGCTGTCCCTAACCCATTTTTAGAAAGTATCTTTTAGCACAATTACTGAAAAAAATACTGTTTGTGTTAAAAAAATATACTTATAAAAACAAATCACCCACCGTGTAAAAAACATCAAAAAATCATTACCACACCCGTCTTAGTGGATCAGTACTTACACACAAACTCTGTAGTAGCTGCTGATGAGGTTTGTCAAGCCGTTACCTTCTGAATAATTACAGTATTTATGAAAACTTGTAAAAAACAAAACAAAAAAACAGAAAATGTGTGGCTTTTGGCTCTGCTGTGATTAACGTCACACAGTAAGTCATTTCTGTGTTGATATTAGAACAAAAACATGAGTTGCGTTTGACCCATGAAGCTTTTCATCAGAAGTGTTTGCAGTTAAAGGACAAAACCTTTAGCGGGGAAGAGAGAGACATTTATTTGTAGAACAGCTGCACTTCAACCAGGCAGGATTTCAACAACGGCTGCGGGGGTTTCCTCCAGGACACTAAAGTCTCATCAGATATTAACACAAGTCAGAGCGAAACCTCCAGAAATGAAATCAAAACTTTATAGAATCTGAATCCTTAACACAGCCCTCACTTACGGCTCTGAGCTCGGGTTTCCTCTGTAGCGGGAGGGAGGATCAGCTTTCCTGGCTCTAGTCTCTGCTGCTGGGGGTCCGTGGGGGCGGAGCTCCTTCCACCGGCGCTGAGCTGGGAATGGAGTGTAGCTGGCCGCCGTGCATGCGCTCATTGACGCGCAGCTGACATCCGTCCTGCAGCATGCGTATAGCGATCCTGGCAATGTTGCACGAGTCATCCAGGCCACAGTGAGGACGGCCGTCGTACTTCATCCCGAGGTTCTCCAGCATGGTGCTCAGCTTCGTCTGCGTTCGAGGAACCTGGAGAAGTCACAATGTTGCTCAGACTGCTGCAGGTCAGTCTGCAGTTGGCCGCGTCAAATTCACGCCACATTCAAGTTAATCAGGTAATCATTTAGATAACTGTGATCAAATCTGGATGAAAAACTAACAGAAATTAAAGCTGAGGAAAATAATGAAATGATCGATGCATCGGGATGCGGACATAAACGGTTCTGCATCGTAGAAGAGAACGCCATCATCGATTATAGTGGAATGTGGTTTTGTTTTTTTAACGGCGGCACCAGCGCAGCGTCCAGATCAGAGTGAGCGTCCTCCACATTTACCAAGTGGTTCTGCCTTAATGTGGTTCTGCAGGGCTGAGCGCTAGAGTTGTAACCTGAGACCCGAATCAGCCCGACCGGTTCTGTTGGATTTGGGCCGTAAATCATGTTAATTGAGTGGGTTGATACGCAACTCGCTCCGCTCGCTCAATCAGCGACTGAGAGCAGGAGGGGGGGAGGGGGGGGGGGGGGAGAGAGAGAGAGAAACATCGGACGTTCCTCCAAACCGATGCTCCAAACACACGTTATTATTTCCATCCATACATCCACTGTCTGAACCCGCTTTGTCCACGGGCGGATGGTGCCTATCTCCAGCGGTCAACGGGCAATCAGACGGGGTACACACTGGACAGAAAGCCAGTCCATCGCAGGGCAACACGCGTTATTATTTTCATTATTTAATTATTGTTTCTCCTGGAAGCGCTCAGTAAGACTGAGTGTTGTGATGTCGGGAGATCCGGTCTTGGGGAGGGGGCGGGGTCAGTGACGGCGGCTGCATCATCTGCCTCGTTTATTTAGGGACACGGAGAAGTTAAAAGGAGAGAGAAATAGAAGACAGAAGTTCTTGTTCCACTTTATTCTTTTGTGTCATGATGATAAACTGATGTTAAATTCAGCTTAAAGAGAAACTGGGAGGAAGCTTTGGTTCATTTGAAGTTCTTGTCTCCTATCTGCTCCTCCAGAGACAGCATGGACATGAGGTTTACATGGTGAGGGTCCCACAGGACAGGTCAGTGGAAAGGTTTGTAGTTAGCTGGTTAGTGAAGGAGATCCATCAGCTGGGTAATTTAATCCTAATCCAGCCCACAGTCTTCTGCTGATGTTATTATCAGCAAGAAAAAAACACACATCTTATATATCATTGGAAGTGTAGAATTTGTTTTATGTTTTATTATTTTCTGCATCAAACAGAACTTGATTCATTCTCCAACATTTCAGAAATGAACCGCTGGGTTCAAATAAAATAACAAACTAAGTCAAACATTTCATTTGGTGTTATTTCTGACACCCTTCAACTGCGGCATAAATAATGGACTCTATGTGTCCTGTAGGTTTTCAGTACCTTTTTAGATTTCGTGAGTTTTTGTAAAGCGTGTTTTTCTCAGCCTGAGGCGTGGTGTTGAACGAGGAAACAGATGCTTTACTTTGTTACATGAAGACAAATCAATATGAAATAATCGTGATGCATCGGGATATCGAATCGAATTGAATCGTTGACCCAATAATCGAATCGGGAGACAAGTGAAGATTCACACCTCTAACAGAAATGTCAATCATCCTTTTCAGTCATGTTTCTGACACTCTGACCAGGAAATTATATCTATATATAGATGTGAAACTGTGAAACATACCTTGTAAAAGTTGCAATACGATTTCCTGACGTTTATCCACTTCTTTGCAAACGGTGGATATTTGATCCGGCTGATCTGACACTGGATGTTGAGGAACTTGCTCATGTCCCACGCTCTGCAAACAGGAAAGGAGATAACAGATGAACGGGACAAATCCTGAGACACGTGGCAGCACGAGTGGAGCAACTGCACACCCGTCGGTCAGAAAGGCGTATTTGGCTTTTGTTCCAAGCTCCCTCTTCTGCAGCCAGGCCACGACTCGCCGGAGGACTTCTGGAAAGGGATCTGCTCTATCCACCATTTCCTACAAGACAAATGAAACTTGTCACCCCTTGAAGCAGCTTTGCTATGGAAGGAAGCAGCTGACCTGCTTTCACCTGTGAGATTCCTGTTAGTTTCACACAGAAGTCAGAAAGCTGTGGGTTCAGCTCTGGCTTCACGTATTCCTGAAAGGTGTCCACCTGCACAGACATCATCATCAAACCTGAAAACATCTCTTTAAACGACCAAAGAACTGGTTAAATCGTGAGATAAACTCACAATCTGTAATGTGTGCGTGTTGATGAGGACCATGGGGAACTCGATGATCTCATGAAGGAAGTCTGGGGGATTGTCCTCCTCACACGTCGCCTCAAAGTCAACCACACAGATGTAATCGTAGTAGGTGTCAGTGGGCCCCCCCTCTTCTGCAGACTGCATCAGCTTCTGCTTCTTGTAGTGATTCTTCAGCCTCTTCTTCATCACATCCTTCACTCCTCTTCACACACAAACAGAAAACGTGCATTTAAACTTTCAGACTCACAGCTTAGGTTTGACTTTCCTTCTGTCCGAGCACCGTCTCACCTCGTGTCAAGTTTCAGCTCCGATAATTTGATCCTCAGCTCCTCCTTGGACATGCGGTTGATGTGTCCATTGGCCAGAGCGATCTCTTTGTAAACCGGATGACTGAAGTCTTTGTTTGACTGAGACAGGGACGTCTGAGGGGCTGTGTTGTCCTCGGGACATATTCTGCTGCACGGCTTAGCCTGGGGAGGAAATAAGCTCATTCTGAGTCACACAGGGACGTAACACCACAAGTTAAATACAGCACATGAAGCATTGTGCTCATCTTTCTACAGATAAGCTTCTAAATATTCAATCATTTCTTTATAGCAGCTCATCGTTTCTGAACAAATTCAAGGCCTAAAGTTAGCTCACATCAGCTCGAAACCACGAAACAAATCTGTTAAACTTTTGTTCCTGAAACTGGTTGACAGCATATTAAAGGGACTTTACGGAGTTTTGAATTTTTATGCTCGTGATTGCCCCCTCAGGCCAAAAGTGTAACGGCAGCTTCAATAGTAGGCTAGTGCACGAGGCGCGCATGCTGTACGTGCACACTCCTTAACGGAAATAACAGCTGAGACAGTCCCGTGTGAGTGTGGACAGGAGAACACGCAGCTAATTAATTAAATAATGTGGTTCTGTAGCTTTCTCTTCAGCACAGCGACAAAGGTTTATGATGGGTCAGTCCTCCTGCATGCTCAGATCATTCCCTTCCCTTGCTTGAAAAATTGTTCCAAAATGAAAGTTGAACCCACATCTTTTTTATCCGTGAATTCAATGCCGTTCGGCGAGTCTCAAATAAAAATTTGAACATCTTACTGTAAAAAATATACCATTCATGTAAAAAAGAAACTCTAAATAAACTATGTTCACATCCAGAATTGCACCCAAGACTTCTGCATGGGAGTCCGACGTCTTACTAGGTGAGCTAAAGCGCCAGTGATGTACTTTGTATCTGTAACATTTATATCCTTGATGACAGCTGAAACAACGTCAAACCAAAGAACGGTTCGGAGTGAAAATGGCTATTTTGTTGCTAATTTGCAGGAAATATCTAGAAGAAAGTTCTACAGAAAGTAGCTAAGGGTCCTCAGAAATGTAGCTAGCTTTGTCACTAGGCGTTAGGAACAGCGACAAAGTGGCACTGCCTCTCTCTCTGCTGCTAAAGCTACGGATAGCAAATGCTACGGGCGATGCCTGAGCGTGAACGCGCATGAAGCAGCCTGCTCGACCCGAGCATCTCTCTTTTTCTGTGATTTTACAGAAAAACAGGCAATCACAGTAAAAATGCCAGGGCTCATTCTACAGGACCAGGGCATTGCAGGAGAATGTATGAAGAAGACATTTATTATTTCTACACATGTTTTGGCTGTCACACTTCCATAATGCTCCTTTAATGATTCATTATATTTTTATGGTTTCATTTTCTTTCCCTGAATTAGCTCTTTTTCCTACATTGGTTCAATTAGTTGCTGTGGAAATAAAAATAAAATTCTCCCTTCTGCTTTTACATTGTGGAGTGAGGGAAACGTCACAGTTTAAGGAAATCTGAACGGGTTTGCCTATTCCTAATCCAGCTTTAAATCTGCCAAGTACTACATGCTACATGGAAATATACCAAATAGGACCTTTTAAAGAGCAAAAAATAATCTTATTAAATATAAAGTTTGTTTTCTGGTGGACAAATAAAAATGGATTTAAACCATTACAAAAGATGAAAATTTAAACTACTTGTTTTGTTCGACAAGCAGTTCAAAATGTGAAGAGTTTATACATTTTAAAATTATTTACGTTTACTTCAAAGACTAAATTTGGTCTCTCAGGGTATCTGCAGGTTTAAGGAAGCCAAATTTAAGACTTTTTAAGACCTTTTTCAAGGCCACTTTGACCAAATTGAAGCTATTTTTTAAATTAAATTTAAGCTATAATTTCCAGCTAATGCCTGGAACCGGTGCTAACCACGTCGCGAACGTGGGATTAGCCATCCAGTTACCATTAAACTTGCTCTTCCCTATGGCGCAAGCTCCCACTAGCTTAACCAGCTAATGTGCTCATCTAAAAATAGTCCCCTTCCACAACCAACTGAATGTGTACGGTTCCGCTTACGCCAACATCATACACCAAAAATGATGAAGACTAGCTACAAAATCAGGAAAATTTTATAGAAATAAAAGAATCTTGTTTATTGGGTCTTATTGGGAATTATTTGTCATTTTTAAGGATTTTTAAGATCTTAAATTTGGAAAAGCAAATTTAAAACTTTTTAAAGAGCACGTCACCCCCAAATCAACATTTTATTTGCTGATAAACTATGTAAACGAGTTTCTAATTGTACTGTAGACACGTGTAGTCAATAATTTGGCACTTCAGTGCATCTTAGTTAAAATTTAAATATTCTGCCTAAAACTGTCAGTGTTGCACTGTCATCAGGTAAAAACTCTGCACTGTATTTGAATTTAAATCTACCACCGCTATAGGCTAAGAGGTATGCTATGATGTAAACTGGTACATTATGATGTCACAATGTCATTGTGAGCCTGTGTGTGTGTGTATTTGTTAGCGGCTCCGCCCTCTCGGTCTGCCAAGCAACAGCGTTTGTTGCATTTTTCAAACATGAAGTGGGAGTGAAGTAAGTTTCTAGTAGGGGGTGACTTGCTCTTTAAGGACCCGCGGATACCCTGACTCTTTTCTCAACTGAAATTTTAATTTAATTTAGTATAAAAATATTCCTAAAAACTATGAATAAACACCTGACCATCAGCCGTTTCTCAGGAAACTCGCCTGTATTTCCAATGAATAAACAAAACAGCTGGTGTGTCTGGACACTGACATTCAGTTTGAGGTTATTTTAATCCATGAAAACTGCGTCACATATGAGTTCTAGTCCAGATTTAAAACCGAAAAGCCCCGAACCCTCTCACACATACCTGTTCGTCTTCTTTTGAGTCAGACATCTTCACGTTCATGTCTTTTCCATGAAAGTTCTCCTTGTGTTCATCCATTTAAACCCGAGCTTTGCCCAGAAACAAGCCGTTAAACGAAACCGGACTTTAAGTAAATAACGTCAGTCTGCTAAACTAGCTGCGTTTGCTAATATTAGCAAACACTCACGCATTCTTCGCATTTAAAGAAAATAGCTCCGTTTTCCGCTGCGTAGATGGGTAGATTCAAGTAAAAAATAGGACAAATATTTGTTTTATCATTGGGTTTAAAGACAAAAACCTGTGAAAACGCTCCGCCGTCGCGCTAAACTTTATTTTCTAAAACTAAACAATGACGGTTTCCGCTTTGCGCCAAAAAAATAGACCTAACGTTGTCGCTTTCTAGCGCCTCTAGCGGCAGGGCGATTCCCGAAAACTGCATACAATGGCCTTTTATTTTGAAAGAATACTCAAGAAGTGTATCTACCAAATGACTATTGTAACTTTGTCAAAGTAGTTCCTTTATCCTTCACATTAATACTCAGAAGAATACAACAAACGATGATTTTATTTTTCAGCTACTGAGATGAGGAGGCAAAGTGTTAAATAAGTAGTTTCAGCTTTTTGCCACATGAGGGCGCCAAATTGCCATTCCCGTTTATTTTAAACAGTTGAATAGATCCAGTGTAGTTCCAGTTTTAGCCACTGGAGGGCGTAAATTAACTTCTACAGTCATAAAAACCTCTGAGTTTGTAGCAGCGCCTGGATTTGAGCTCTTCACAACCATTGTATGGAACACTGTTACAGAAATAGACGTTTTATTCTGCTTTAAGTCAGGTAATTGGAGAAAAAGAGCAGGTTTCCTTGTCCACCACAAAGATAAATAATTCCACATTATTTATTTCACTTTCTAACTCTTTTAGATATGCTTTCAGAAATGTGTAAATTATTTATCTCGTCGACTCCCCCTGCCTCATCCAACGACTGGGCAGTTGAACTGGGGAGCCAACGGCAATCCACGGGCCAACGCTCGTCATCCGCAGCTCTTGTCTCCTTGTTGACTACCAACCTGTTTCAAGAGTTGTGACACAACTTGGTCTAATTGGCCATTTTATTCCTCTATTTCTGCTGCAGTATTGTACAGGATAGTGTTCCAAGGTTGATATTCTTAAAACCATATATCTACTTTGTTCCATGTCACCAATGTTTGGGCTACCGTATGCCACTAAGGAGTTCCTAACCGGTGTTGGTCCATCCCCATTAAGAGTAAAAGAGCGAGGCCAGGTGTTTCTGTGCGACCCTAAGGTTTAGAATTTCCGGCACAGGGGTAGGGTTAATGTCCTTAAGGGTCAGGGTTTAGGGTTAGGGGCCTGTTTAGTGGTCTTTCTGTTTAATCAACAGGTTGTATTACACTTATTTTTTATTTCCTTAAATGTATTTATATTCAGCGTTTTTGATTTTTATGTTTGAGAACTTTGAGTAGTTTAACATTTTTCTGTGTTATTTTATGCTCCTCTTTCGCTCTTATAATGAATGTAATTGCTGCTGTGACAAAAAACAAAATAAAAATGTAAACCAAATCCTATAATAATTATTTTATTTGACTGTAAGATATCCATATGAAACAGAAACTACTTTATCACAGTTTGAGATAGAAAATATAAATATTTGAGTGTACCCGGGCATTATACTGACATCGTATACATTTTATGAGCTAGAACATCTGAATATCTAAGGTTAAACTAATCCTGGATGCACTGCTCCGTTTCACCACCAGGTGGCAACATTTCGCTGCGTTGTAAACGATGCGCTTCTTTGAAGGATTCATTGAAACAGAAATGCATGCTGGTTGATTTCTGATAAACTGGAGTGAGGTTTGAGGCTAATTTTAAAATAAACTGATTAGTTCAGTTTAAAAAATATAAAAAACTGAAAACTGGCTCCATCGAAATCCAAGTTCTGGATCGCACACCATGGAAATGTTGATTCCCTGATCCAGCTGTCAGCCTCATTCTCTCTTTGACGTCTGGATTTTCCTGTGACGTCTGCAGAGCAGTCAGGGTGGTGGATGCTCTCTATAATGCATGAAATGCTGAGCAATAAAAAGCAACATCTTAGAAAAACAAAGATTTATTTTCTTCTTTAAAAAAGTAATAACGTTATGGAAATCTCATAATTCTCTTCTAAAGCACATACAACAGTGAAAGCTTTGTTTCTTCTGCTCAAAGTAGTGTTTACATTTGGTAAAAGAAAAGAAAAACATACAGAAAATAATTAAATCTGGTCTTTGAAAGACACAAACATGCAGGAGGACTAAATGAGCTGCACGGAAAAGGCATCAGACCCATTGAGCCCCGTCGTCATCACGATGACTCAGGTTTGGGAAATCAGAGCTACATTGTTCATCGGTCCTCTCTAGTCTGGAATGCTGCATTCATGTCACGTGGGAAAAACAACCGCTGGGTAACAATGCTACCTCTTGTGTTCATTTCCGAGGAGCAAGCTCTGCCCGAGAACAGTGTGGTGGACATTTCTGACGTTTCAGAGCAAAACCAGACATTTATTTAAAGCAGAGAAACCTCGACTTGAATTTCAGAGTATTTACAGAATTCTGTGGGAGTAAAATGTGAATAAAAACCCAAACAAGGAATCAACAGCAGGCAAGTCTCTTTTAAACTTTCAAGGATTTGCACCTACATTCAAAAAAATAAAACCACTCCTTTCAATCAGAGAGCCTCTATTCCCACGGGACTTGAACGCAGCACAACACAGGCTTCACATAGAAACCATTTTGTTCAGGTCGTCCTTTCAAAAGGCGTTTTTATGAGTCAAGCACGCTCAAATCTAGAGTTTTCTAGAGAACCACGTTCCGTTCCTCACGGTTCTCGTGCACACAAATTTTCACGTTCATTTGTAAACCAGGATCGCTCCTCGACCGGCCGTCAGCCGGAAAACAAAAACGCCTCAACCCATAAACACAAGAATTATAACACACACACACACACACACACACACAAGACGAGCCGCAGCTCCGAGGCTTTCCAGGAACACTTTCCTTTTTTGTTGTTTCGCACGAGGACAAAAACAGCTGGTGAGCAGGTAGGTGAGCGCTGGTAGCAGGAGGGGAATGGGCCCGTGTCAAACCCGTTGGATCAGCACCTCGCACACACTCGTAAACGTACATGAAGTCACCCGCTGGTGACAAACGGGACAAAAACACTACAGTGAGATTTTAGTTCCTTCTTCTATCCAGGAAACAAACTCTGCTCAGCTGTTTGTACTCATCGTTTGTTCGTGAGATCGCCACCAGCACCATCAAACGTTATTATGGGATGTTTAATGGAAGCTGTGCCCGTGGCTTCGTGTTTCTGCTCATCGGTAAACTTTAAAGGTGCATTTTTTAAAATCTTGTAGCCACTTCCCTTCCTCCTTCCAGCAGACCGCCTCCAGATCTCAGCTTCGCGTGTTTCACACAAAGACGTGTTCAGAGCCTTCATGCCTAACGCTTCCTGTAGGACGAAAACGAGACGTGACGCCACAATCACATAAAAAAAAAACACTCCAATTGATTCAAACGATGTGCGTCTCAAAGAAAAACATTCACACAAATACGGTGTGTTCAAAACTCCACCGAACACCAGTCAGAGCTGGCGGGAGCACGGCGAGGCGTTCGGTGTGGCTTCACGGCCGATCCAGTGGTCGCAGAACCTCCCGGGTTCCTGCAGGTGAGAGGGGCTGCTCCCGTCTGAGGGCAGGAAGTAGTAACACGCCCCTGCTGCGAGTCGGCGGACTTAAACCCAGACTCCATCGTGTTGGTGTGGGGCAGCGGAACCAGCGTGGATCTCTCTCTGAAAGCAGGTGCATTCTGGGTAAGGCTCGTCAGCGGACGATCTGCAGGTGGTCGAGAATCGGTGTTGAGCAGGGCGGGTGTAAGGCTACGAGTAAACTCCTCCCTGTTGCCGGCGTTGCCGTGACCACGCGTGTCAGCGCGGGAGTATCAGTCGCTCCATGGCGTGCTGAACAGGTTCCCAGTTCTTCCACAGCAGTGCCAGAACAGACACGCCCACGCAGGTGAGCACCAGGTGCAGGCGGCTGCGCAGCAGCGGGGCGGTGAACTTGGCCACCGTGGAGACGCACACCAGGATGACGGTGACGATGGCGAGCATGATGTTGATGCACTTTCCCAGGAGGACTTTGGCATCAGTGTTTTCCAGCTGAACGGTCTGCTGCTGCTGCTGCTGCTGCAGCTCCAGCTTCGACACGCGGGTCTGACACGACTCCAGAACCTCCTGCATGGAAACGCACCATCAGGTCAAAGGTTAAGGGTCAGGGAAGCACAGGAGGACAGACAGAAGAAACCCATAAGCCACACATTTCTACTTAAAAGCTTAGTTTCTTATTAAAGATCTCACCTTGTGAGTCGATCTCAGAGGAAAAAAAAAGCTCCGGTGCTCATGGGTCAGGGAGCAGAGTACCGCAGGATTTGGGGTGTCATTTCCTGATATTCTGACATCTGATTGGCTAACAGCAACATGAGTCTACCGCTGACTCCACTTGCTCTGCTATGTTGACGTTTTATCTCCACGAATAACACCAGCCTGGAGGCGTTCTGCTGAGCTGAGAGCTGCTACAGCGAACAGCTAGCTTCCATCAGTCAAGATGTGCTCTGCTCTCTCCTGGCCACTGAATCAACAACAGCCTTTCCCATCATGAGCCAAGACGGGTGAGTCCATGAATGCTAATTTCTGTTGCAACGTAGGTCTGACCGGCTTTTCTAATCCGAGCGCTTCCTCGTCTGTTTCCCATCGGCGACTAAAGCAGGAAACAGGTGTGGGAGATAAAAGACGGACCGTCCACCTGGCTGGAAGAAGATGTGTCCCTGTGTAGCGCAGCAGAGGAGCTGAAGAGGGACACGAAGACACTTTGAGCTAAATGCAAGGATTTGGAATCTCGGATGAGAAGGCGTATTATTCGGATTCTCGGAATTCCCAAAGTCCAGCTCAACAACAACGAATGAAATGCTGCATCTGGAGTAGGGTTGTCACGGTAACCGGTGTAGCAGTAAACCCCGGTAAAAAAGTTGACAATAATAATAACCGTCTTGTTTTTTAAAAACTATATTATCTCGGTGGGTTAGCGTGGCTGCGGTGTAGGCGCGGTGACCCTTACCAGCCACCGTATCATCTGCTGAAGTTGCCGGCGGCACATGCGCACTTTGTTGTTTACAACCAAAACTTTCTTGAAGCTAAAGCTGAAATAATGGCCAAAGGAGGAGACGGCAGCGCTCAGGACATTTATTATCCCTCAAAGAAGATAAAGTGGGAAGTACGGGCATCTTTTGGATATTTGAAGAATGCCGAGGGACAGCTGATAGAAGACGGCTATCCTGTTTGCAGCACGAGCAGAAAAAGTGTCTGTGAAAGGCAGCAACGCTTCAAATCTCATGACACATCTGCGTGACCATCACCCACAACTCTACAGTCAACGCAAGGCAAGCTAACGTTAGCGTTTTAGCTAAAATGCGTGATCCGAGGATTTGGGTTGAGGGAGAAAGCAACGAGTCGCTATATAAAGCAGCCGCAGCGCCGCTACCTGCATATAAACCGTGTCGCGGACACCGCCATGTTGAAATGACGCTATGCATTACGGGGCTCCCAGGGGCAGATAAGAGTTGGTCTCTCTCCGAGAATAATTATGAATTTAACAACGATTACTGCCTGATGACATTTTCCCACATCTGCAAAGCTCACTGGAAGGACACAAACCGAGGACGATATTTTCCTGATATAGGGTTTATTACTCAAGTAAGGGTAAAAAAGTATCTGATTAGAAGTATACTTGAGTACCGAGTATCATCTGGTCTAATATTTTTAAAATGATGACATCAAACAGACATAAAATAAGAAGTTATGGGCAAATATTGGTATTTTAAAGGCTAAAGGGGAAAATGTAAACAAATAAACAACATAATTACAAAATAACACATTTTAGGCTAAATTTAGACACAAACTGAGGACAATATTTCCTGACATACAGGGTTTATTTAATTGTGTGAAAATGTAGCACGTTTAAAAGAAATACCGCGATAATACGGAAAACCGTGATAATTTTGGTCACAATAACCGTGAGGTTACATTTTCACACCGTGACAACCCTACTCTGGAGTCAGAACCGACAACAGAACAATCCCACCGAGCTCTTCAAAAGGCGAGTGACAAACCCTGATGCACTGTTGTCATTATTCACTTTCAGCCTGTAAACGTGTAATTAGTGTGTTAACACACCTGTATGTCCCTGGCCCTCTCATAGGCCTGGTAGGCCACCTTCTCCTCTATACTGGCCAGTTCCTGCTTCAGATTACTGGTCTCATGCTGGTGGAGCTCCGTCAAGTCATTTAACTGGTCCTCCAAGCGCTCGTACCTGGCAGACGGGGACACACACACACACACGCACGCACGCGCGCACACACGCACACACACACACACACACACACACACACACACACACACCAGGAGTGTGTGTGGGCACAGACCGGTGCAGCAGTGCATCTGCTGAAGAAGGCTTTTGGCCTTGGTCGTCGTAGCAACAGTTTGAATGATGCTCCTAACAAATATTTCACTTCAGCTCACAAAAATCTGCTTTTTTAAGATTTTCAAAGAATCAAAAAGAGGAAATGGATTTATTTTTGAATCCGTCGGGTTGTTTTAGTGTCAGATGAGAAACTGAAGAGGTCAGTGGAACTTCACCGTTACCTCCTGTGGCGCTCACCTGTATCTCTCCTCCTGCATCACCTGCGTGAAGTAGCTGTAGTCGCTTTTGAATTGCTTGTTCAGATTCTCCATGTTGTCGGCCAGCTGACTCTGAGCCACCTGGATTTCCTGCACCATGTCCATAATCGCCACCAGACGCCCGCTGGACTCTGACCTCCCCTGACCTCCGGAACCGGCGCCCGATTCTCCCGTCGGGTTCCCGTTTGAATCGGCCGACGCCGACGTTCCCGTGGAGCACTCGTCGTCGCTCGGGTATTTCGCAGCTTTGGCTACTGTGGTGGCGCTGCCGCTCAGACCCCTGGACCCGCCCTCCGCCTGCAGTCCCGAGACCGTCTCCATGGAGCTCTTCATGTGGGCGATGTTGTCGGCGCTGCCAAACTTGTTCCTGATGAGGTTGGCGAACTCCCGTGGCTTGTTAAAGAAGAACGGCGGCGAGAGCGACACGCCCGGCCCGATGGTTTTAACTTTATCCAGCGTAGGGTGGCGCCCGGAGGAGCTAATGTCCCGCAGGCTGCCCTCCTTGCTGTGAGACCCGGACTCTTTACCACTGCCGTCTTTGTGGCCGTGCTTCCCGTTGGTCTCGCTGTCCTTCATACGCCGGTGGTACTGCTCCAGCTTCCTCTGCAGCCGAGCGATGGTCTGTGCGGACTTCTGGTTCTTCTTCTCAAACACCTGACGTATCCGAGACACCTGCTGCTTGTCGGCGTTGTTCATCAGCTTCAGGTACTCGGCGACGTTCTGGTCCCGCACCACCTGCTCCACCTTGATCTGCTCCGTCACCTACAGCACCGTCAGAGCGACACAACTGGATTTTTTAATGAGCAGCAAATAAAAATGCAAAGTGACCTAAAGGTCTGTTGATTTAGCTTCTGTGTGAATTCTCTCTGTTGTTAAAGGATGTTAAATGTCTGAATCAGTTAGAAACAAAAACATCTACACATGAAGCTGAAACTAGCATCAAGTAAAACATCCTTATTCATACTCATCAAACTGCTGAACTGTGCTGGTTTGTTTCCAGGATTAAGGACAGAAACGGTAAAATCTTCAATTATAAAGCTTTTCTCGTCTCAAGTTACTTTTATTTGGATAAAATGTTAAATTTAAGTGAGTTAAAGAGCAAGTCACCCCCAAATCTACTTATTTGTCTGATAAACTATATAAATGTGTGTCTAATCTTGCTGCAGACACGTGTAGTCTATAGTTTTGCTCATTAAAGGTGCATTATGGAAGTGTGACAGCCAAAACATGTGTAGAAATAATAAATGTCTTCTTCATACATTCTCCTGCAATGCCCTGGTCCTGTAGAATGAGCCCTGGCATTTTTACTGTGATTGCCTGTTTTTCTGTAAAATCACAGAAAAAGAGAGATGCTCGGGTCGAGCAGGCTGCTTCATGCGCGTTCATGCTCAGGCATCGCCCGTAGCATTTGCTATCCGTAGCTTTAGCAGCAGAGAGAGAGGCAGTGCCACTTTGTCGCTGTTCCTAACGCCTAGTGACAAAGCTAGCTACATTTCTGAGGACCCTTAGCTACTTTCTGTAGAACTTTCTTCTAGATATTTCCTGCTAATTAGCAACAAAATAGCCATTTTCACTCCGAACCGTTCTTTGTTTTGACATTGTTTCAGCTGTCATCAAGGATATAAATGTTACAGATATGTAAGACATCACTGGCGCTTTAGCTCACCTAGTAAGACGTCGTACTCTTGTGCAGAAGACCTGGGTTTGGTTCTGGATGTGAACATAGTTTATTTAGAGTTTCTTTTTTACATTAATGGTATATTTTTTTACAGTAAGATGCCCAAATTTTTATTTGGGACTCGCCAAACGGCATTGAAATCACAGATAAAAAAGATGTGGCTTCAACTTTCATTTTGGAACAATTTTTCAAACAAGGGAAGGGAATGATCTGAGCATGCAGGAGGACCGACCCATCATAAACCTTTGTCGCTGTGCTGAAGAGAAAGGTACAGAACCACATTATTTAATTAATTAGCTGCGTGTTCTCCTGTCCTCTGTCCTCCGCCCCCCCCCCCCCCCCCCCCCCCCCACACACACACACCCACACACCCACACACACACACACACACACACACACACGGGACTGTCTCAGCTGTTATTTTCGTTAAGGAGTGTGCACGTACAGCATGCGCGCCTCGTGCTACTATTGAAGCTGCCGTTATGCTTTTGGCCTGAGGGGGCAATCGCGAGCATAAAAATTCAAAACTCCGTAAAGTCCCTTTAAATTTTCTGCCTAAAACTGTCAGTGTCGTGCCGTTGTCAGGTAAAAACTCTGCACTGCATTTGAATTTAAATCTGCCATCTCCATTGGCTAAGAGGTACCCTAGAACATTAGCTGGTACCATATGATGTCACAATGTCGTTGTGAGCCTGTGTGTGTGTATTTGTTAGTGGCTCCGCCCTCTCGGTCTGCCAGGCAACAGCATTTGTTGCATTTTTCAAACAGGAAGTGGGAGTGGAGTAATACTCTGGTAGGGGGTGACTTGCTCTTTAAATTCTACAGGAGCCACTTTTACTGTGAAAGAGAGAAAACAAGTTTTTGAAAATGGATTTTAAGGTAATCGGTCTGATGGATGTAAACTGGAACAACTAAAAGCTGCTTTAGAGAAACGGTTGAGAGGTTTCCTGTCACCTTGAGGATCTTCTGTTGAAGCGAGTCGATTCCCAGCGCTCCCTTAGTGAAATCAACACCAACGCCGTCATTTCCAACGCTGTCCACCACGTCCAAGTTGGGATCCGAGCCGCCGCGACGTATGGGCACCGGGATGCTGAGGCTGTTTACATCGCAGCCGCCGCGCTCCGCCTGCAAACACCAGTCATGACCAGTTACCATCTATAAAACATTACATGAAGGGAAAACATTTCTTCACCAACGACTAACATTAACAGAAATTAATATTTATTCTTTTAAACATTTTGGAAGCGATATAAACTTGAGAATTAAAATATTTGCAGCTCAGGAAGTTTTTTCAGAGAACATTTTTATTTTATGTCGACTTTAAAAGATTCAGCTGTGACAATAATTCCTTTTTGTATATTTTTACTGATTTTAGGCAGTTAGGGTTGTAACAGGATACAGGATGATAGTGTAAAGTAATACTAAGGCTATCAGCAGCGCGAGCTTCACAGAGAAACACGTTCGAGTTCATATTTAAGTCAAAGTTAAACTCCAGAACATTTAAGTTATAATTACAAACTTATTTTGGCTCCAGGGAAAATATCCAGGAATTCTCACCACAACTCAGCTTCCTAACTGGAGGTAAAGTGGAAAATGAAATAATCAAAATAAAACAGAACGTTGTTTAAAGATAAAGGAGACGCTTCGTGGTGGAGGACGGATTTTCAGGTTTTATGGTAAAACAACAATATGTGGGGGTATAATGAGATCAGCTGATGCTGGTGGGAGTGAAAAGACATCAGAGCTCAACATTCAGAGACGAGAAGATCACGACACAAAAACCAAACATGAACGAGGGGATTCTTCTGTTTAGATTGCAAATACAGGAAAAGGCAGCTGGAGGGACGGTAAATCTCTCTTTGGGCTGTGAAACAATCAGGTTTAGCGAGGAGCAGCAGCAAGAAGGAGCAGTGAGGAGGAGCAGTGAGGAGGAGCAGTGAGGAGGAGCAGTGAGGAGGAGCAGTGAGGAGGAGCAGTGAGGAGGGACAGCATGGAGGAGTGGTCAGAAGCCCGCAGCTCCAAACAAACAGCCTCTGGTGCTTCTCGTTCTGTGTTGACAAAACAAACGATCATGTAAGAAAATCTACAACATTAGTAGGTCTGGTTACCAGGTAGAATGATGATAGAGTTGGATCTAACACACACACACTCACTCACTCACTCACGCACGCACACGCACGCACGCACGCACACACACGAGTGTATGACACAGCAGAGTCAGCATTCTCCTGGGAATAACAAAGGCAGCATGAACAAACGGCTTCATCAGCACACACAGATGCTTGTGAAGTCACACCGCCCTGAAAGGAGCTGCTCGTGTTGTCAGTCCAAACACGCCGAGATGATCCGTCCAAACGGAGGACGAGGCAAGCACACCTGAGTTCAGGTACAATCAGAGCGGATCAAACAGTAAAAGGCACAAAATCCCACTGATAACATCTGACAGAGACTAAAATACAGATTAAGGTTCAGGTGCAACTAAAGAAATCTGGTGCTAAAGTTCTTTTATGTCAGTAATTCAGCCTGAAAGGTGAAACTAATAAGAGACGGACTCCTTACGTGCAAAGCCAGATGTTTGTGATAACTGTGATGATTACAGCTGATGAAAACCCCACAATCAAAACCTCAATCAGAAGATTGTGAAAAGGTTGAATATTCTAGACTTGCGTCACACTCAATCCCCCACAATGCAGCTCTAAAATTGGTCCCAACCCGGAAGTACCATGAATTGCAGTTCCACTTAAATGATCTAGTTTACACTCATGACAACTGTGAGGGGGGTGAATGTTTTTCTCACTCTCCTGTTTAAGTGTATTAAAAGTAGGGCTGCAACAACGAATCAATGAATTCGATGAAAATCGATTACTAAAAGCGTTGGCAACGAATTGCGTCATCGATTCGTTGTGTTGCGCAACTCTTCCAAAAGCCCCCTCCCCTCCCGCCCGCCGTTGCGCGCAGACCGGTGGAGAGCCGGCAGGTGTTTGTAAGAGGAACATGGCAGAAGCAGTGAGACCCCAAAAAAGTTAAAACTTCTAAAGTTTGGGAGCATTTTCAGTTAAATCAGGCGAAGACATGCAACGTTTGTAGGTCAGACTTAGCATGGCATGGGGATACTACGGTGATGATGCAGCGTCTTAAACGCAAGCATGTCAGAATCATCAGCGAGGAAGGAGAGAGCTCGGTGTCCGGGTAAGTTAAAAACTTTTCAAAAGTGATTCATCCAAGCCCCAGATTATTACACAGGCTAGACATGCCCTAAGCTCGTAAAAAAAGTCTATAAAATTGTAAGCGCGACGCTATTTGATAGTCGGGGGGGGGGGGGGGGGGGGGGACACTCGCGCCGCTGCGAACCGGTTCCACCGTCACATTCCCGCAGAAACTGGTTGATCACACCGGGGCCAGACTACTAACATGTGGTTTTACAACCACAATGTCCTCAGAAGCAAAAATGCTTTTAAAAGGGAGGGAGGAGTCCTAACTGTTGCTGCAGGCGTGTTGTGTGAGAGTGCAGTTATATACTGGTTAATATATTTTTGGGTTCAGTTGCTTTCATGTGGACTAATGTGAGTCTATTTGGGATCATTGGAATGATCAGCAGCATTTCTTGATGTGACTTTATGGCAGTTGCCCAGGGCATCATCACAAGGAGGATGGCATTCATTTACTTTTGTTTTATTTGGTATTTTTCAGTCATTTTTGGAAATAGTGATTAATTTTGATTAATTCACAGCCTATGTTTAATTACATTTAAAAATTAGTTGTTTGACATCCCCAATTATAATAAATGTCTACAGATGAGATCAAACAAAACAGATGAGAATTGCCCTTAAAGAGCAAGTCACGCCCAAATACTTTTTTTTGCTGATAGACTAAATAAACGAGAGTCTAATCGTGCTGCAGACACGTGTCGTCAATAATTTGGCACTTCAGTGCATCTTAGTTAAAATTTAAATATTCTGCCTAAAACTGGCAGTGTTGTGCCATTGTCAGGTAAAAACTCTGCACTGTATTTTAATTTAAATCTGCCACCGCTATTGGCTAAGAAGTATGCTATGATGTAAACTGGTACATTATGATGTCACAATGCTGTCGTGAGCCTGAGTGTGTGTGTATTTGTTAGCGGCTCCGCCCTCTCGGTCTGCCAGGCAACAGCATGTGTTGCATTTTTCAAACATGAAGCGGGAGTGGAGTTAGACTCTGGTAGGGGTTGACTTGCTCTTTAAGCTGTTTAATTTGGACCAAGCATTTTAGGTCACAGATAGATGTAGCTTAGGGTCTCTGTCTATACGCCTTATAAGACAATTTAGGTGATGGCATGTTGTTTTTCTGCTATTGAACTGTTTTCTAATAATGTTGTGTTTAATAAAGTGAAGGAAGGAGAAAAATAACGTTTCCCTGGCAGTTTTTAAAAATGTCCCTATGTAATCCGATTAATCGATTAATCGTGTCGAGACCCCATCCGATTAATCGATTATCCAAATAATCGTTTGTTGCAGCCCTAATTAAAAGCCTAAAATTCTGTATAATTAATGAGCATCAGACCCACGTGACCACAGAGCTAGCTCCGTGGAAAGGCCTCAGTAGAGCCTCGGTCTGGCCTGGAAACTGCTCCTTCATTTTCAGTCTCTCAACTTAGACCGTTAGTTGTAGCGTTTGTGCGTTCTTTTTGGATATTATTTGTGCAATTGTTGGACAAAATGACTTGCTGTGGCATTAATTGCACTAATAGAGCATCCAAGGAGTCTCCACTTCATTATTTTCGGTAAGTAAAATTATATTTATGTATTTTAGGTCACTGCCGAGCTGAGCTTAGATTTTAACATGTACTGTTTAACCATGAAATTTAAATGTAATAGGGTAAACCCCAGTGCATTTACCATAATGCTGCACTTTAGAAAATGGGTTGAAATATAACATGTTGGTGGAGCTGGGTTCCCACTATCGGTATGGTCCCCTCCCCCCAGCGGCAGCTCTGCGCATCTCAGATCGCAGCGGCGCTTGTCTGCTGTGCGGCTGCAGGCTTGTGGAGGTCTCGGAGACCTCGGTGTTCCACCCGGTTTTACCCAGCGGTCAGCCCGGCGTATCTCTGACTCAGAAGCTCTGGTGTTGTGCACAGTTAACTCCAGTTGTAGCTAGGTTGCTACCTCCGTTAGCTTAGCTCCCACCTCCGTGTTAGCTTCAGGTTAGCTTGTAGCTAGTTCGACCGGGTGTCGTCAGTTGATCCCAGCCTTACAGCCCCACCCTCAGCGCCTCCTCTCTTCCCTTTTGTGGAATTGTCTGGGCTTGACGGAACCTGTGACACGGTCAAAATGGCGGTGGTGGCCACCTCCCATTTTAGCAGAAAAATGTGTTATTGGAGTCTATGGAAACCCATTGTCCATATATGTATGTCGATGGTCACACTCTAATCAGCTAATGAGCCCAAAACACCTGCAGAGGCTTCCTGAGCCCTTAGATGGTCTCTCAGTCTGAGCTGACATAAATGCACGTTTGCTTTATTTCTCTTCTACATCAGACTAAGCTAAGCTCCACTCCATCACCCAGCCTATTAATGCTGTAGCGGCTCCTGTTGAAGCAGAGTACAACGAGGAGCACGTGTTCACGTTTCCTTTCCCTCCATTGCTGCCTGTTGCACTCAAACTGGTGACAGTGTGGATGTGAGCGTGCAAACTCTCTGGAGTTGGCGTATGGCGCTCTGTAGTCCACACATGCACCGGGTCTGATGACACACGCAGACCATTGTCTGAGAGGACACGCGTGCCTGTTTTACAGAGCAGATATCGGGCCGCTCCTCGTCCTGTGACCTGGATCTGCACTCGGGGCATTTACAGAATTATACAGGAGGGTGGACGTGGAGCCAAAACACACAAGGGCAAGTGTCCACAGGGAAATTAGAAAGGTATACACGGACACTGGCTAGTCGAAGCCTGGGATAAAAACTAATAAAACTAAGATTATCAGACTAGAGTGAAATGTGAGACAAAAGGCACAGCGAACACATTAAATGTTGTAAAAGTTGTGACACAAATGCTGTAAATGAGTATTTTATTCAGTAGGCAGCAAAACAAATGAAGAAGAAAGCAAGACCAGTAAAACCCCGGTGGCGTGGTTGGTTCATTCACGTA